TTTGTACACGCACTCTCTCTCTCCATGGTCTAGCTTATTTTCACCTTGTGGGTCTTATAAGGATTGGGATTCATCTTAGCTGGCATATATTATTGGCCAGGTTTCAGTTTTAGTATGCAGCTCATTAGAGGATTGAAATGCTGCCTACATTCCACTGTGAAATTACATTAAACCACGGACCAATAGGGATTTCCTGTAATTATCCGCCATGAAAATCAAAGGATTCCTACATTTAATTTTCCAAAATTGGTTTGAAAAAAAAAAAATAAAAAATGTAATTTGGGGTGGATCGCGCGAGCCTATATATGTGAACTAGGGGAATCAAACTAATGCTATGCAGAATGAAAAAGGCTATCCATGTTACAGGTGCTTTTGTGGACACACGAGGAAAGAACACCAAACAACGACAGAAACAAACACATAGAAACACTAAAGGCCCAGATACACCGGCCCGAAATCGGCAGTAAATGGGAGTCAGGCCGAACATGAGCGTGGGCACGCCCTATTCGGAGTGGTGTGCGCCGCACCGTCGGGTCTTTTCTGCCGACCTGACGCCTTTTCTTGCCGGCGTCGAGAACACCACCGGAAGTCGGACAAAGGGATAACACTGATTGGCTGTTCAGCTAGCGAATCAGTGCATGAGAAGCGTTAACGGAAGTGAGGGAGGTAAACACATGATTTAACACAAGCGTGAGTCCAAGGGCTGCTAGCTCCAGTACCTCCCGTTTGTCCTGCTCGTTCATGTTTTCAATGGACGAGAGTGAAAATGGAAAGAAAAACGCTATTTGTTGTTTGTTTATATCACGGAGTCTGTTCTTCTTTGTCTTCCGGTTGTTGCCTCTTTTGAATGATGAATACTACCGCCGCCTGCTGGTAAGGAGAGTTATTACCACTCACGCATGCGCCGTTCATACGTGCTCGGCTCGGATTTGCGGTGTGTTCCAGTGCGCAAAGTCGGCAAATACGCAGGAGAGTCCGGCGACGCAACAATCGGTGTCGGCGTCGGTGACTTCTCAGGTGACTGGCCGGTGTATCTGGGCCAACTGAAAATACCTTTATTTCAAGACTAATCAGAGGACAAGACACAGCTGGGCAAGCGAAAACAGAGGAAAACACACAGGTGAACAGAATCAGGTAATCAAACAGGAGGGAAAACACAGAGACAGGAGGCAACCACAGACAAAAGACAGGGGGTGAACACCTTTCAAAATAAAACAGGAAAACTGACAGTTTGTGACACATTCCCTGTATATAGCTACCCAGGTCTTCATACCAAGCCCATATAAATACATAACATTGCTTACTTTATAAAACATGTTACATTTAAAATAACCATGTTTTCAGCTTTGTGTCTACACATTTTAAAACGTTTCCAATTACCTTTAAGTGTGTTACACAGTTTAAGAGCTTAAGTACATATTTTGTAACCCATGAAAACACATCCTTTGCATTATCTGAACATTTTAAAATCACCAGCATGTTTTGATACAGTGATTATGCACCATATCATAATTTAGAGATTTGCTTTGAAGTAAGACGTTTTTAAGTTATGTCAAACAAACTGAATAAACTGTCTTCATCTCCCTTTAAAACCGTGGCAGAGGTAACACAAATGATCCCTCCCCAATTAAATAATTGATGCATCTCCGTGTGACAGGTATTTTCTCCTGAGCATTTTCGCCTAATGCTTCTGGTGTGACCGGGCTGCCTAAAAAAAAAGGTGCCTTTATTTCCCTCCAACAGCCCGAGGTATCTCTCTGTCTGCTCTGAATAACATTGAGTCAGACAGCTGTGGTGGGTCCATGTTTATATCAGCTCCGGGTCTCTTTGTCTAGATTAAACATTTGATGGGGGGGGGGGGCTCAGAGCATTTTTCCCATGAATGACTGGGCAGATTTATCGCTTCAGTACTGTGTAGACATAATAAAACAACTTTCCTTTTGTTAACCACCCCCTATTCATTTCTCAGACAGTTTACTTGACTTAATATTTGAGGTATTTAATGTTAGCATTTTGTCTGAGTGACATCAACTGGCATTTATAAACAGTCTTGTGCACACAAAATATCAGCTTAATGAGTAATAGAAAACTATTTTGCTGTCAAACTATGGACTGCAATGACAATTTATGTGAGAACAAGTTTTATAAAGTATAGTGATGGCATATAAATAAGGTATGTGGACTTTCTTTAATTTTGAAATGTGGTTGTTTGGCTTTAAGGGCAGAAAATAGAGTATTATCACTGTAAAACAGAGCAAGTAGAGAACATTTTGCTTTTAAATCATGAAAAGAACACTTGGCAGGTTTGTATACTAACTTTATGAATCAGCTTATTGATGCGTTTTCTTTCATCCATCCAGAATGATCCACTCAGTCAAATCATTTACAGAGACTCGTTTCTCCTCTTGTGTTGATCCACTGTTTTTAATTCTCAGAACCATCCTGTCCTCCTCCAGTATTCATGGGGTGTTGTATGCTGCCATCTTGTGGTGTTCGTGCAGTATTACAGACCCGCAGCCTCCCAAATGAAAGCTAATAACATCCCCTGAAGCAGAACACACCCTTTCCCACAGTGCTGCATTTGTGATTCCATAACAATGAATAATACATTAATAAGTATGAAAGTCTTAATTTATTTAATGAAAAACATCTGGCGCTATTTCCACAGTTAATTGGATCCACCAAGCATGAGATTAAGCAACACATGAGTAAGCTGCAAAGTGATTTGAATACCAACCACTGCTGGAGTTTGATATTTGGATACTCGGTTTTCGTCACATTATACCATTTCGCAGGGGGAAATGTGGCCACTGTTTCTCAAAATACGGTTTATTTTGTACTTTTTGATTTAGCAACAGTCCTTTTTTGAGAAATGTTATGTTCTTAAATATTATTACAAAACCCTGTTCAAGAATATTCGAGTGGATGAGCATTTTTCTAAAAGATTAGTTTATATATGGTAACTGCAGGGTTATTAGATTCAGATAATAGGCTTAATATAATTTATGAATAACCCAATAAGATTTACAACTGTATATTAAAGTTTAACATGAATAAATCAGTAATCTATTAGTCTGCTGTTTATTTGAAAATGTCCAACTGTGATGTCATCTTTGTGGCACTAACAAAAGAGACATCAGTATTAGTTATGATTGTAAAGAGGGTTTCATTGGGCTTAACATACTCTACCCTGCCAAAAGTATAGCTCGGGCAGCAAAAATGGACAGGAGATCATAAAGGAGCCTAAATAAATAAAATGGCCTTTATCCCCTGTAGGCACCTGATAAACCAGGCCACAGAGAGACCACCTGGGATCCTAAAAGAGGTCACTGCTTATGCATACATACAGTATGTTCCTTTTCCTATTCTATTCTAATTCTTTAATGCATACATTGACAGTAATAAGTCATTACAATTCACTGGAATTGGACCTTATATGATTACAAGTGCACTTAACAAAACCTGGCAACCCAGAAGTTGTCTCACTAATGTTTAGTGTATTCAAGCATTGGTGAATTAGTAATTACAATAAAAGCCATTAGGTCCTTAGAAACCCCTTGACAAGTAGGTCACATTATGAAGTGCTTTTGTTGTTTTTTTTCAGTATTTTAATCATAACGCGATGATGCATTAGAGACAGGACGAGGTGGGCATGTTCACAATAGCCAGACAATTACAGCAGATGTTGAAGGTCAAAAGGTCAGCCTCCACTGAAAGCCCGGGAGGAAGAACAGTAGGTGGCTGCGTGGAGCCGTGACCCGGTCAGCAGCATGCGGAGAGCACAGTGAGACATCACAGACAGACTGTAGAGGTGGAGCGGAGGTATCAGGGTCCTGTTACTCTGTCGACCTCGTGTGAGACAACCAGGGTTCATTGACACGAGGGTGCAGCGCGCAGCCAGAGGAAGGAGGTGACACAAAGCTGTCAGACCGTACACTGGCCAGGAGAGATCATGAGTTTATCTCCATCGGAGTTTCCACTACTGTACTGAAGCATTTACATTATTTAAAGGTCTCCAATTATGCTATTTGTAGGCATATATTATGGGTCTCAAATATATATATAAAAACATGTCTATGATGTTTTTTGCTCAAAATACCAAACAGATCATGCATTTTAGACATCCCTAATACCCCTCTATTTCAGCCCTGTTAGAGAACTGCAGGTTCGGCGTCCTTAGCTTGAAAAAAAAAGAGCTAATGCATGAATTCTACTGGCAGATACAGCTAAATTCTGCCGTGATTAAAAGCCACATCAAGGATTATCTCTGAAACAGCATGGAGCTCAAATGCTTTTTTCTCTTGCGGGTTTACCACAAGGTGAGTTCCTTTTATTATTTCCTGCTTTTTTACACATACTCTCTCCAGTACAGGTTAGCTCTGAGTGTTAGCATGCTTGCTAATGTAAACACAGACCATATTACGTCCAAAACACGTCGGGAATTGTTTTTGATAGCAACTTTTCTGATAGTGCTGTGGGCCCACATTTCCGATATGTCATATCGGACGCAAATCTGGATCAGCTCTGTTGAACCCCCGTTTTATTTTTTTAAGATTTGGGTACGGAGGAAAAGAGAGTTTTGTTTTCTGACACTTTGTGAGTTCCCTGACACACCGGGGACACATAATGATGTATAAAATACATTCAAAAGTGCATTTTGCATGATAGGTCCCCTTTAAATCATCTTGCACTATCTGATGGATAACGGTGCATCCAGAGGGTTTTAAAATGGAATTGATCAGACCATTTTGCATTAAATATCACTTTCATTACTGATTAGTCCAACAACTTTCTGAGAAAGCTCATTATTGTTGCATCTATAAACACACCATTCCCAAAAACAAACATTAAAGAGACATTCAAAGGCTTCAAAATATTTATCAATAACTTTTTACACCAACAATACCAGCTGCAGAAGTTTTATTGCAACCACATTACTGCCTAACGCTACAACTATTCATGACTACAGTCGAGAAATAATTGCACTCAGACAATCTCAATATTTTTTAGGAATAATTTATTGCCAGTAGGAAAGCGTGAGCTTGTGGCAGTATTCAATAAAAACCTTAACAAGACCATAGCATTGCTCACACACACATAGACACCTGAAAAAGTCTCGTGTCCATCATGGATAACTCTGCACTATAAATATATCGGGTCCCATTTTCTTGGTGGAAAAATAAAGAGGTTCCAAAGTCAAAATGTACAGACAAACAAAATTAAAAACAACAAGAATATGCAGTCGTTCATTGAAGACCCTTTTTGAAATGAGCAGGAGACAATAAGATTTACGAGTACACTGTGTTCGGAAAAGCCACGCTCTTTTCTTCTCACTCTTTTTTTAACTTTTCCTTTTTTGTGAATGTAAGCACAGTAAGGCTGATAATGTCACACCATTTAACTCTTTTTTGTTGAAAATAAAAGCATAGAATATCTACAAAACCTAGTAAACTTTGAAATCAAAACTGTACATTTAAATTTACATTGAAAATGAGCACTTGTAGAAAAACATTTTGCTTGGTTGAATTTATAGAAACAGAGATATTGTGAATTATTCTTTTTTTTTTTTTCTCATGATGCATATCCTGACCCTTCAGCCAATCCACTTCCTGCATGATGAAAGTTACATAAAGCATGGCACCGCCAACGTAAAAGGGCAGGAGTTGGACTGATCCGACGTTAAGATGCTACAGAGTCTCTCCGATAGCTTCATGAGATCTTCTCAGCCGATTGGCCTCACAACCAGTCTCAACAACCCCCGTGTGTAGACTCAATTCATTGTGTGTTTGAATGTATGTATGTGTGTATGTTGCGTTTTCTGTGTACACATACTGTGCATGTTTGGTGTGTGAGGGGTTAACATAAGGTGTAGCTGTGGGTTCAGGCACTTTTGTTTGGATCCAGTGTCAGACTTCAGTGTGCTGCTGGGAGTCGAGCGCCGGGATGGACAGCCGCTCAAAGTGGCCCTCATCGCCGCTCTCGTAGTCGCTTATCATCGCCTCGGACTCCTCGCAGCACGCCGACATGTCCGAGCAGGAGGCTGTGGACGTGTACAGGGACAGGGACATGTTGTCCAGAGCTGACGAGTCAAAGTCCCGACTACACCCTAAAGGGTAGCCCCCTCTGTAGCCGCCGGGGCCCATGGTGGAGGCCGGGGTGGTGTTGCCTGAGGTGGAGGTGGCACCGTGGCCCTCGCTGTCGCCCCCCTCGCCGGGGTAGGCGTGCTGCGGCAGGTACTGGTTAAGGCTGTACAGCTGGGGCAGGGCCGGGCGCTGACGGACCCCGGCCGGGCTGCCCGGACCGCTCGCAGACGGGTCTAACTCTCTTCCCATGGGCCTCAGCGTGTCGCTGTACTCTGGCAAAGGCGGCGGCGGCAGGTCGTCGTTGGCGTTGTAGTCCTCGGGCGGCGGAGGGAAGTCGCTCTCGATGTCGAAGCCGCCGGGATAGTAGTCGGTGTCCATGGCACTCGGGTCGCTGTACAGTGGGGCGGGCGACTCCACAACCTCATACTGTGGAAACTCCTGGATTCCAGGAAGTTGGACACTTGGCATCCAATCAGATGTGTCCCAGTGATATCCTGTTGGATAAGGAAAAGCCCAAACACATGTATTAGTATTCTGCACTAAAGCTCTCAAACAGTACAATTATCACCATAGGGCATTATGTTAATGTTAACAACCCACACCATGCAACATTTACACAATACATCACACCAACACAATGAGCTGTTCATTAATAAACACTTAACTTCACATTTTAACACAGCGCAGGCACGTTCACAGACTTTAAGCACACTGACACTATTCCATTATATCTTGTTAACAGCCAAAACGTCTTTTTAAAAAAAAAAGTATTTTTATAACAAAATCTCCTTCTCCTATCCCTAAAATAAACAAATATAATGTGTTTGATAAATAACATCTCATTGGAGTACTCCTTAAATATATATTAACATTGTGTCCAATAGTCCTAAGTTTCTATCTACAGTTCCATATGGCAACACAATATGAGCTAAGCCACGCCCACTTCCGAACTATCCAATCATATCTTTGGATCTTTCTATCATTGGATTTAGATCCAACTGGTTGCATTACTTTTCCCACAACATGGAAATACGTCAAATGATTGAAGATGAAGACGAAAAAATGTTCTTCCCTTCACCAGAAAGATAATATTTACTGGGACTGATTATAACTAAACCACTTTCACATACAACAAATGTATAAGAAGTGTTAAAAAAGAGTTACTGTAAATGCTGTGTCAAACCATTAAAAGAACTTACAAAGACAAGCCGACACAAGCAACTCCTATCCAATCGGTTACATTTCCAGTTAGTTACTGAGCAAAATGTTAAATCATATAATGCTCGGATTAACATTTTCTCTAACGTTGTCCCGGCATCAAAGACATGCATGGGAATGATTTTAATACTCTCACAGCGGCAGACAGTAACACCTTAAGAGGAGCGAAGCAGAAAGCACTCAGTGTCTCACAGAGCAGTTAACCCTTTCCTCACTAAGCTTTGGGGTGAGTGGTTAAGAGTTAGACGAGGGGATTGGGGCAACACCAGTGAACATCAGGCAAACAAAGATGTAAAAAGTCACCTCTTGGGTTCTTGAGATCATGAGCCAAAAACAACTCTTTATATGAGGCAAGGAGGAGGAGAAAGAGAAAAAAGAACATTAAAACCTGAGAAGAAAGAACAATGGGCTAAGAACACGAATGAAATGAGAGAATGACGGGTAATTCATGGACAACAGGTTTGCCATTTTCTCAAACCGACTTCTTGAGGTGTGCAATTAAAGGTTGGCAAAGTTATTCACTGAGACTTGAAGGCAACACTTCTGTGCCTGTTTAATTAGCAGCTGAATCTAAAAAAAGAACGAGTTGGATTTGGTTTGTCAGTGTAAGATAATGGCAGCTCTTTCACCTGCACTTCACATCCCAACACCAAGAATAAACTGAAGGGAGGTGGAAGCAATAAAAGAGTACCTTCTCCTTCCACCGTGTCAACAGCACAGTTGACAAGGTGGATTACCGTCACTAGGGAGGCTTGTGAGAGGCAGGAGAAAGGGGAGTGGATGGGAGAGATCAAGCATAAGTACAAATGGTTTCATCATTTAAAAACAAACACATACAAATGAAGTGCATGGTGGAATTGATGCCAACACGATCAACACTTCCCACAAACGTCCTGCTGAACACACTTATTTGTACTTATCTGTGGCGACTGAATGCACGGGGGGAGAGGGGGGTTGGCTAGGCACAAGACAATGGTGGAAGGCGGAACAGTATGGGTCTGGTTTTGTTTGTGCAAGATAACACAACAACAACAACATACTGAGATGCTACGGGGTGCCATTCACAGTACAGATGGATGAATCAGTGAAATTCCCCGGAGACGTGAGCACAGTTCCAACCCTAACACAGAGAAAAGCCACTGTGTTTTCAGAAAACAAACTGAGGGAAATGAAGGAAACAGAAATGGCTTGTTTCGGAAATATTCAATTTCTAAATCAATTTAGGATTCATTTGTATTTTTCAAAGGTTTTGATGACTTATGGGCAGCACAATCCCCACCATGATATCCTGGTAATGACAGGGTAATAAGGTAGATGTGATGAGAAAAATGACAGGAGAACATAACATATGCGTGTATACCCATGTGATATGTTCCTGGATGTTTGCGTTACACATCACTTTGTAGCTACATGTTGAAAAAAAGAGAGACAAAGAAAAAGGCATGCATGTAAATAATTAAAAATAATTATGAAAAAGTAAATGACTTCATGATGGATTTTCAAACAGGTTTCTAAGTCATCAAACTCCTTTTGAACACAGGTAAACTGAGAGCGGGCGGATTAGAAAAGGGTCAGAATGTATTTTTTGTATGTATGTAATACGTATACATGTAATCCCGGGAGAATTACACTGCACATGTTTTTGTGAATGCTTCCGTCTGTACCGGCAGTGATTGAGGACTTACAGGCTGGACCCCCCTATTTAAAACCTTGTTCTGGATCTGTGGACTGATTTGATCCATATGGGAGCTGAAGCCCCGCAGCAGAAGGAAAGAGAGAACAACATGTGACCCCAGAGCCATTTGGCGTATCCATTGTGAGCATGCAAAGAAACAGAGTTAGCAAGAAAATCATCAAGGCTCTACAAAGACACAGGTAACTGTTGCAGAACCCTGCAGGCTGATCAAACAAAGGCAATAAGAGATTAAACTCATCACAAATGCAAAATATCATCTCATACATGTGCGTGTTATGAAATATGCTGTTTTTATACTATGCTATGTGGTTAGTTTTCCTCAGATGACTAAGAGAGATAGATTTAACACGCTGAGTGGCAGCATACCGTTGTCATCGCAGGACTCAGACTGGAAGGAGCTGAGGGACTGGACCTCGGACATGCTGCCCCGGGTGTTGTAGGCGTGACAGGCGCTGTCCTCTGCAGGCTTCTTACTCAGGCACGGGTCCAAGTCCACCACTTTAGCTGGAAGAGAAAGCACAGCCTGAATATAGTGTATGGAAGCACATGGAAGAGATGGGAACACTTCCTGTGTAGGGCAAAGCAATGTGTTTGAAATAGTCTATAGATGGGCAACAATAGAAAAGACAGACAGAAGTATACGGTTGTAGGATGTTGCTTTGATTTGTTTTGGAATTTTCAAAGTTTAGTATAGTTTTTTTAGTCTCAAGTATAGTTTTCCTGGTCTCAATTTGTATTTCAATATGGGCAAAATAATAAAAAAGTATAAGGAAATATTTTATGAAGTGTTATTTATAATGCATCATATATAAAACCACTATTTGCTTTCAATTACATTTTGTATTTACTGAATTTTGTATCAAGTTTAATCATCGTTTGGTACAAAGTATAAAGAAAATGGAGACAAAGTCAAACGAGTAACTAACTGAAAATGATTTAACCTGAGGTGTACAAATGTAGCATTGTTACTTTTCCTCTTATATGTACAAAAATGTCATCATCCTTTACCGGGTACTTTTAGGAACATTGAGAACTTACCATCGTAGTCATAGTCCCAGTTTGGCTTCTGGATGGAGTCGCTGTCTGAGACGGAGTTGGAGCCAGGGGGGGGGGGAAGGTTGGGGGCGACGCTGCACACGGCCACGGTCTTGCGGTGCCCGTGCACAGTGTCCGGGTTGAAGGTGCTGAACTCAGGGTGCTCCGGGATGGCTGAGCCCTCGAATGAATTCCTGTCCAGGTTGTTCCTCGAGTCGCTTGGAATGCTGGGAGTGTAGGAGATGGGCCTCACGGGGACCTGGGGGGGGATGTCGGAGTAGATGTTCTTGTTGAGTTTGACGTCAAAGTACGGTCTCTGTAGGAAGGAGTGAGACATGTTGGGACTGGCCAGATGTTTGTTGTCGTCGTTGTGCTTGGACCTTCTGCGACAGGCCTTCTTGCGGATGATGATGAAGAGGAGGACCAGGATGAAGATGCTGGACACAAACACCACGATGCCGATCACCTCCTCCAGACCGATGTTCCAGGAAGTGGAGACGAAGTCATTGCGGACCTCGGCGCGGAGTTCGCACATCTGTCCGTTGAATCCCAGCGAGCAGTTGCATTTGTACGAGCCGTATGTGTTCTGGCACTGGCCCCCGTTGGAGCAGAGGTTCTTGATGCACTCGTCAACGTCGCTCAGGCACCTGAAGAACACATCAGAGTTCAGTGCTGTGTGTTACAAACTGCTGATACAGGAGATCGGACCTGTCTAGCCCGAGATATAATTCATTTAGTGAGATCAGTTCATGGGTTTGAATTCAAAATGTACGTACCTTTCTCCCTGGAAACCGACTTCACACTCACACACTGGACCGTCCAGGCTGTCGATACACTTCCCGCTGTTTTTACAGGGGTTATCTCTGCAGTACGGCCCCAACTGGCACCTGAATACAAAACAAGCTTACGTAAGAAACCTACAAAATATAGGAAAACGTGTTTTTTGAAAACCTATCATTTATAATAGCTGATCACCGGTCTATAACTTGAAATGCAGGTCTTACTCAAAGATTCAAAATGAAATGTGAGTATTAATATAAAATTAGAATTACATGATGTGTTTAAAGTATTAACTTTATCACATGATCATCATCACCCAGGCATACATGCAAAATGATATCCATCAATCTAGCGCCATAGCATGCTCGTGGTTAAATGTGTACTTCTACTTTTTAAAATGTGACGGATAAGATGGCTGTACCTTTGTCCTGAGTACTGTCCTCTGCACTGGCAGAAGAAGTCGCCTGCTCGAGGAACACAGGTGCCCCCGTACAGGCAGGGGTTGGAGGCACAGGGGCTCAGGCCGATCTCACAGTGGGTGCCCATGAAGGAGGCAGGACACTTACAGAAGTAGCCTGTGGAATATAAATAAAAGACGTATTCATTTATTGTTAAACTCCTGTAATTCATCACAACAACGCTTGTTAGGAAATAATTGCTGGGGGGACTGAAATGTACTGTTGTTTTTATTTTAATGGTTTACTTTGCATAATTTACATTAATTCCAATAGTACAACGTTGTGCTCACCACACTGCTTAGAGTGTGTTCTTTCTTTTCATAACTGAGCTGCAGATTTAGCAGAAAAGCCTCGTAGGGACAGTGAGGGATTATGCCCCCTGAACCACTGGCAAGTTTTTAATGCGAACTGATGCAGAACTGTTGAGTTTGCATTAACAGCAAACGGCACTTACTGCAAATTAACACTGCAAGCAGACGCATCAGATAACAGGGAGAGGTCGCACAAAACTATGGTAGAAGATGCCTCTCTAATAGCCTGCCTTCAATATGCAAACAGATTCAACTTCCCAGCTGATACACCTGTTCTCAGGCGGCAGAAGCTCTGTTATATGATCAGATGAGTAATTTAGTGAATAATTAAAACTCCTTAATCTCACGGGGGAAATGTAATAATGTTCAGATAAAACTAATTGAACTAATTCCAGTCCAATACAACCACTCTAAGTCTACCTTTATCACAAACGTTGGTCTTTTGTAGAGGCTCGTCATTGAGCTGCCTAACTGTGCTGTTATACACAGTGGTGCTTCTACACACTATTTATACAAACAAGAGCAAAGTGATAGTTTGGCTGCGTTGGTCTCTTTATCATTGTGTTTGTAGACCATCTTTTGAAAAGTTCAGTTCACAAAATATCAAAATAGAGAAGAATATTCACACAATAATCCAGATCTTGAGATGACTTGTTACGTCCAACCAATAATACCAAAACTTGATTTACTTGCAATAGCTCATTAAGTCAATACACAATAATAGACTAAGTTAATAAAAGTGACAACTAACTGATAAAAATGACTGTAGTTTATAATCTCATTCAACCTTTACACAGTTTATCAATGTTTTGTGTGCATAGGTATAAATGTGTCTGTTGATTGTGTAGGATATACATATTTTTATATATATTTGTATTTTCGTATTCAGGATTATGGGAAACGGTATTTCGATCTCTGTGTCTGTACACACAAAATGCAAGATTGACAATAAAGTTGACTTTGACTTGACTAACTAAAGCCACCCGGGTGAGAACGTGAGTGCAATGAGTTGAGCGGGATGTACCTCCGTTAGGCAGCGAGGCGCAGACCCCCCCGTTGCTGCAGGGGTTGCTGGAGCAGCTCTCGGCAGGTGCGAGGGCACAGCCTGGGCTCACGTCCACGAGGTCCTCCAGCACGGCGTGGGCCCGCTGAGCCTTGGTGTTCAGAGGCAGCTCCTGGCCGTTCAGGCTGATGGCCTCCATGCAGCCGCGCAGCCCGTTGGTGACGGGCAGGCTGCGACCGTGGCGAGCCGAGGCCAGCTGGCGTACATGCCCGCCGAAATAAATGCTGTTGTCGAGGTTGAGGGTCCTCAGGGTGCCCGGTGCTGTGCCTGAGGCGGCGTGCACCCGGTCCAGCACCAGCTTGGCGTAGTTACCATCCACCTCCAGTGTGAGAGTGTGCCACTCCCCGTCGTTAATCTGAGCGCTGTGCACAGACACCAGGCCGGGGCCACTGCCGCAGTCGAACTTGTACTGCAGACGGCCGTTCACAATCTGTCAGAAACACAAAGTTAGAAGATGATGAACATTCAGCATACAGCAGAGATATGAAAGCTTCTAGTTTCATAATTTGTGTTCTCTGTCTCTCATCTTGATCAACACAAGATTAGAATCTGGCGGAGAAATCGTAATTAAATGATGAAGGCACTGTTATAAATCAATATGTGACACTGTCATAAATCACTCCCTATCAGAAAATACAGTGTGCATCAATAATTCATTAAAATGTAATCTTGGTAAAGAGCAACCCAATTTCAACAAGCTGTGCAGGAAGGCATCTTTATAAAACGCTGTAAGTTTATGTCTCTAAATAAAATAATTAAAAGTTATTTCAAGCCTCACATGGCTAAACAATAACTGTCTCATAGCCAGCCAGGTTTCGAGTCTAAGGTCTGGCATGCAGACTGCTATAAGAGACAGACTCGAAGGAATGTGTGGAAAACAGCTTTCTGTTTCCCTCCCAGAACTAAAATAGCTCCTGTGTGTGAGGAGCTTTTTTTCAACCCACCACCACATTCCCACCGTCCCTCATGTGAACGGGGGTTTAAAAAGGCTTTTTGAACCCTTCAGAACAGTTGATTGGTACACATGGTTGGGTGGTCTCATGGGAGGGCGGGTCAGTTTGTGTTTATTAAGCCCTTCTGATATGGAAATGCTGCGCGGTAAAACGGAGGGACAGTCAGTCTAGACTTAATTATGATAAGGAAGGTTATCAGTTTTGAAGACTCTGAAGGAATAAATGCACGTCTGAGCAATAAGGCAATATTCACACAGACACACAATATTCACACACAGCAAATATATTCACACACACACACACCTCGAGGATGCTGTAGTCTGTTCCTTTCGCATACATGACAGTAGCATGAGTGGAGAAGGTCCTGATCCTCAGGGAGAGTTTCATCAGCTCCTTGTTCTCATTCTCCATCAGAAGGTACTTCACATAGCCGCTGCCGCTGAACGTCAGGGAGTTGCCATCTGACAGGAAGTGAGAGACATGAATCAAGAAGATGTGGGACAGGCATGCAGCTTTTACATTATTTTCATCATTACTCCAGGGTGAAAAGGCTGGAGATAGGGAAGAGATAACGATATCTGGAAACAGAGATGAATAGGTGGGTGGTCTTACCGGAGCACTTGCCCTTTATGCCCTCTGGACACACACAGCTGTACACGGCTTCTTTAGGATCTGCCACACACTCCATTCCCTCAGGACAGGGGCTGTTCTCACACAGGTTGTTCACCACGGGACATGTGCCGCCTAAACAACAACACATTTCCAGTCAGATCAGGCGTTTCTAACAGACAGTGAATGTGTAAATCTGTGTGAGGTTAACGAGCCTACCTTCACACTGGCAGGTGGCGGTCCTCAGGTGTCTCGGTGAGACGAAGCTGAGACGAGCCGTGCTGTATGTGGACATCGTGTTCTTGTCCAGGGAGATGACCTCGTCGCAGAAGCTTAACGGGCAGTCCACCCCCGCGCACAGCTTCTGCACCACCCGCACGATCCGAACGCCCGTCATCTCCTCGATCACAGCCGCAGAGGAGTTCAGCTTACGGAAGACCACCTGAAAAAACACATAATATAATAATCAGCTTTTCTCTTTTTTATGTCTTTAAAAACTGAACATCTTTAGTAATTTAAAGACATCGTATTGGGCTCTTGGACATTTCCACTGACATTTTTGAAACTTTAAAGATCATTATTTGATTAATTTAACAATTCTGTACTAGGGTTGGGTTGTATAAAGAAAATCATTTATCAAAGTTTTTATAACCAGATAATTATGAAACAATATTGAAAGATATTTTAGCAATGAAAATGTCAGAATAATGTGGAAATAATGACATACAATGACATCACTATACTGTAATGTAGCCATTTAAAGTGAAAATACTTAAAATGTTACGATATCCTAAATCTTTGATATCTACTCTTATAATACGATGGCACAATATATTTCACAGCCGTATTTGGTACCATTAGCTATAAATGAACATCCAGTGTTAGCATAGTCGTTCTCACCTCCTGAGATTGGTAGGGGGTGCCGGACCTCTCTAAAGCCAACAGCACGTCCAGGTCTCCGTTCTCTGAAGGCTGCAGGCTCACCAGCTGCACCTCACTCCTCCGGACCCCTGCGATGTTCCTCAGTGCCCGCTGGAAGTTACGCCAGAAGTCCCCGATGAATTCCTCAGGGGCGATATTAGCAAAGCGCACGGCAATAGAGTTGTCCAGAGCCTGACGTGTGGCCTGTCTGACGTGCACGGTGACGTCAGCCGCCGTGGTGAAGCGCCCGTCGGTCACCGTCACGTTGAGAGGGTAGTGACCCACATCGAGGGGGCGCAGGGCGATGACTTTACCATCCGAGGCGGACACTGAAAACAGGGCTCCACTGTCGTCCGATGAGGAGGAGGAAGGGGCGAGGCTGTAGAAGAGGGTGTCGTAGATGTCCTGGTCGGTGGCGTGGATCTTGCCCAGGACACCTCCGGGGTATTCATCGCCCGCGGTGGTGACAAAGATATCCAGTGGAAGGATGGCAGGAGGGTAGACGCTCTCCTCGATTATTCGCACAGTGATGAAGGCGGTGGAAACGAGCTGAGGTTTGCCACTGTCTGACACCTGGATATGGAGAGAAGAAAATGATGTTCAGTGTTAGTTTTTGTATGAAAGCTTTCTTTTTCCAACAGCAGAGGGCAATCAAGCTCTTCCACTGGTAAGCCAAACCACATCTAGATACTGTTGGTGCTCTGCATATTAAAACATCTACAGTTCATGCATTTCATCAAGCACACTCTCACACGGATGGTCATCAGTTAAAAAAAACAACTATGACTCAAACGTGAGTGTACATCTCGTGTAACAAGACATCACACTTACATTTCATATCCCATCTGCCCACTCTTTTTTTTTTTTTTCTGCTAAAGTGACACATCAACACCCAGCCACACATGCCATCGTGCCAACTCAAAGCAAATGTCTTTGATTTGTTATTCTCCTTTGAGATTTACTCCCATGCAGCAGCTTTGATGTATTCCACTTCAGCATCTTACAGACAGTTGTTTGCAAGGTTAAAAGCTGTATTTAGAACGTGTTTAAAAGATGGAGAGACGAACATTGACTAGTGTTGGGATGTAAGGAGATGGGGAACAGAAGGAAGACAAATAGATCAGGTTGCTATGCCTTGACGGTTAAATCAATACAACCTCTCAACTGCGGTTTCTCCTCTGCGCTGTGACTCACCTGAGCTTGCAGTAGGTAGTGTTCTTTACTTTTCCTATGCAGCGCTCCCACGGCCACTAAAGCTCCCTGCTGATTGATGTGGAAAGCATCGCCCTCATTCCCATCCACGATGGCGAAGGTGAAAGGTGGGCCGTTGTGGGAAGCGTCCCGATCGGTTACGGTGAGCTGGAGAACACTTGTGCCTTTTGGTCGGTTCTCCTGTGGGATTCAAGAGAGGCATGTGTAATGTTTGTCGAGAGAGGAGGTGGCTCACCTGATGCTCTTCATCTCTACAATGTTTTTGCAAAATGTAAGAATTGCACGGTGCGAGAGGAAACGTAACAGAGACTATTACATAACTGAATATTGGTACAGCTAAAAATGGGGAAAACGTAAGCTTCTCTAATTTTAATCAACTAAATACGATTGTACAATTATAATTGCTTCAAAGATTTGGGCAGGTTAACTTTAGAAAGGGAAGGCTTCCTCTCTCCTGTTGTGTGTCCCTGAATGGTCTTCAGATCTGTCCTTTGTAATGCAAGTCCTGAAACTCAATGTTATTCTCAAACAACTCCTAATGCTCCTGGTGTTGTGAACAGTGTGCTTTGTGTTGCTTACTTGTTCTTTTAGGAGTGCTTTTGTGCTTTACTTTGATTTGGGATCCATAATAAGTCAAAATAAAGGCGGTTAGGATTTCTTTTGAAGCAAAACAATGTTTCATTAGTACTCTAGCTGTGTGTGCGACGCCTCCGCACAATAAACAGAAAGGAACATTACAAATAAACCATCTATCTTTGGAATCATGATTTCTGTCCTGAACTGTATTACAAATGCATCTAGCTTAATTATTTTCATTTCAACACTCGTTCACTTCTCTCCAGTGAACCGACTGTAGCTCAGTATCTTGCACATTTCCTCTCTTCATCACTCCTGCCTCGCAGCCTTTCCCATTTATTCCCTTATCTTAATTCTCATACTTAAGATGCATCCTCTGTCTTTTGATTCCCTCCCCCTCCTCCCTACCTCTGTTCTTACTCCAACATCCGACTTGCTTCTTGACATTCAAGTCGCACAGTCTCCCATTATTCCTCCCTGTTAATCCCTTTCTCTGTGTCCACTGCAATCCCCCCCTGCTCCTCCTCTCTTACTTCCTTTCCATCTACCTCTTTCTCATCCTCTACACCAGGGGTTTTCAAAGTGTGGGTAGGTGAGCCTCCCCTCAGAGAACATAGGAACAGCCGCGCCCCCCCTCCCAATTATTATTGCTGTTATTATTATTATTATTGTTGTTGTTGCTATAATGCAGGGGTATTCAATTGCATTTCAAAGAGGTCCAGTAAGAGAAAATGTAATTAAATGCTCTGTTTTCGCTGTCTACCTTCCGCCATTTGAAATTACTCCGACTGTTTCTCTCCTCTTGCTGACTGCACCGATTTGATTGGCTGAGTAGCGTCACCTCCTTAAAACATTAAACAATAACTTTTTTAAACCTTTTTATTTTTATGTTTTAAACATATTGTATAAAACTCCCCCACTACTTGGACTATTCCTTGCACCCCTCTAGAATAAGCCCGAATGGTCTCAACCATATTGCATCAGTAACGTGCACTTGTTATTATAACAAGATCGCAAGGACGCTGGTAACGATCGGAACATTTAGTGTTGTTCAGTTTGTGTGTTGTGGAAAATGCGTGTCCGTGCATGAAAATATACCACACACCCAATTACAATTGCATGTTCAATTCACTACCCTGGAAGTTAATACAGTTGTTAAAGTTGGAACAGCCTGTGGACAGCCGTTCTTCCTTGCATGTCAGTCGCCGACACCTTCTTACAGAGGACAGGCACATCTAGCTGCAGCACGACCCGTATATTTCCGCACGCCGTGTTCTCAAGACATATTTCTTTTAACATTTTCAACATGGTGGATAAATCCTTATATGCTCCCGGCAACACACTGAACGTTACCCCATTACACTCACCCCTACTTTAGTGGGAACAATGAGTCTGCGTCTTTGATGCACACAGGAATAAACGCAGATCATCCTCTGGCTGCAGCCTTTACCGGTACTTGCTTTTGATCAAAGTCAATGCGGAAAACCTGCACTCACACAGGTAGGTGAAGGGGAAGGGAATGAGCACTTTTACAGCCTTTTTGGCGAGGTGGGGGAACTCGGTCTCCACAGACAGCCACAAGTGGGCAAGTGTCACTATACTCGTCTTTTTCTCGTTCTTTTGTGTCTCACGCTGCGCCTCCCCTGAAGCTCTCTGGCGCCCCCCAGGGGAGGCGCGCCTTAACACTTTGAAAACCGCTGCTCTACACCTTTAATCAGCCATCTTCGCTGACCTCTCCCCCCCCCTCTCACCTGGATGATGAGGCTGTAGTTGGCCTGGGAGAACAGCGGTGGGTTGTCGTTGACGTCTGAGATGTCGATGTTGATCATGGCGCTGCTGGAGAGAGGGTTGGCCCCGTTGTCTGAGGCAACCACCATCAGAGTGAACCCTGAGGTCTGAGAAACACATGGAGAATAATTACCGCACATAGGCAAGGCTGCTTTTGTAAGCAATAATGCAGCGGAGATCAGTAAACAAGCTTCCCTATTAGGCCTGACATGACTCTGATTGGATTCTGCATAGAGTGCAAGTAGCCCCACAGTGGATTAAACTGTGAACAGTCAGCATTGTATCTGTTGTTTCTCTTACTCGCTCTCTGTCCAGCTGGCGAGCGACTTTAAGCTCTCCTCTGACCGGATCGATGGTGAAGGGGCTGCCCTGGTTACCGTCCACGATGAAGTAGCGCACGCGGTTGAAAGAAGGTCCGTCGACATCTTCTGCCATCACCTTTAAATCAATCAAAACAACAATCAATCCCTGATTCTGGAAAATGGATTAACATGACAAGGCAACGTGTGAATGTTAGGTTAACTCGTGTGTTAGAGACTGTAAAAAAGAATGTCTCAACCAGCTTCATACTATCATTGATTGTTCTTGCAAGGACACAAAATGATCTTCCAGATCAAGAAGACATCTGGTTGATTGGTGGGAGGGTACACTTGTCATTGTGTTAGTGGTCTTTATCAGTCTTAAGTGGGTGGGAATCATCTGTGAAAAACCATGATCCTATATTTAATTCCACGAGCCAATCAGGATTTAACAACATTTGACTACAAATCTGATGACTGTGGGTGGATTTATAAAAAATCCACCCACATAGTGTCTAATAGGTTTTTTACTTGTATAATTTTACAGAAATATATTTGAATTTCAAAATCTTACTTTTAAAGCACGATTTCACTGCATTAGTGGATCAACGGAAATTAATCAAATCAATAATTTGAGTAATTTTTTAAGCTAAATGCCAAAAATGTTCCTCTCAGCACATTGGGCTCTGTGAATCTGCACTTTTCATCGTTATTTACAAAACAAATAATCTGTTTATCGAAAAATATAATCAGCTGAATAAATTATGATGAGAAGATTAATATTAATTAGTTGCGGCCCGGCTATCACAACATCATACAGATGTTAACAACCTTTCCTTTCTCCTGTGCATCCTCCTCCAGAACAAACACACAGTCTTAAAACCCACCAAGCGTCACATATTGAAAGGGATCCCCGGGGAAATCAGCAGACAGGGAAGATTTACAAGTATGAGACAATAGCACGTATTCAAATCTAATTTTCAGATGTATCATTTATATTCAGGTACATTAGGCTCACAGACAAATGGCCATAAGCAGGGGTCTTTTATAAAGGGAGGGGGAGTGGTGGTGTGCTGCGGGGTTGGACAGAAATAGACGGAGAGAAAATTGAACATGCAAAAGGTGAAGACAATGCCTTATCTACTAGGACGGAGGCATAATGAGTCAAATGCCTTTCAATTAAACAGTTTGAGCATGTGTGTCAGATAATGCACGAAAACAGGGGTGCAGTGAGCTTGAAGAGCAGTTACTAATTTAGCTGTGCCACCAGATGGTGATTTGCCACAGGTGCAGATGTGTGATAGTGTAAGCAGTGAGTAATGGGCAGAGAGGAGGAAGGCTGTGAGCGAGTAAATGAACAAACTGACACATCTAGCTGGAGGAAAATTAAAAGAGACAGTGATGAAAAATGTATTTCTCCCTGCATGCAGCGTTATAGTAAGTATGGGATGCTGCTCCACAACAACCAACTATTGTATTTGTACATGTCCCTAAAGATGGGATGTTTATTCTCACCGCCATCACAGTCTTCCCCAGCTCGGCGTCCTCACTGACGACGGCGGTGTAGATCTCCTGGCTGAACACGGGTGTGTTGTCGTTGACATCGGTCAGGTTGATGTTCACAGTGGCCATGTCGCTGAGCGGCGGTGAGCCACCATCTGTAGCCTCTACAGTGATGTAGTATTCATGGGAGACCTCGTAGTCCAGCGGCTCGATCACAAAGACATCACCTGAGGACAAAGAGACGGCGGAAAGTCAGAGAGGATGTCCTCCCACAAGAATTCAAACTTCAATACCACAACTTAAATAAATAAAACATCTGTGAAACCAAAAAAGGAAATCAATTTGACGACAAACAATGAGCTTCTTTGCATTTTAGTAAGTGGCTTTCATTTGAAATTCAAAAGTCATGCATTGCTCAGCTGCTCTTACTGCATTACTGCTTGAAGTTAGAACACAGAAAGAATCCTTTGTTTCTTTTTTTTAAATTTAATATTAAATATAATTGGATTGGAGTTAATACTACTTTTTTTTTACACACCCGATAGGCAGAGAGCCAAGAGCATAGATAGATATCAGCTTTCCACGGCATGATTATCACGGCCAAAATAATTCATGGTATTGAATCTTTACAAAATGTGAATTAAAAAATAATAATTATAGTAATGCTATTAGGTCAATCCTTATTTAAATTAATTTAATTGTGTGTTCTGTCTCTTTTTTGTGAGAGAATAACACTCAAACTGCTAGAAAGAGAGTCCATAAACAAAACTGTATATAATGGAATTATAAGGGACGACAAAAAGCAAGAACTGAAGGACAGAAATGATTCAAGAGGCCATGGATTATTTACCCGATATTAATAATTGTCTATGATTTCCATGATATCAATATTTAATCCCACATTAAAACAGTCAATATCAGTATAGGGCCACACCCGGAGAGCACAGTAAAAGCTGAGCTAAGAGATCATGGAAAAAGAAAAGCCATCTGTTTCCTGCTACCACATACCGGTGCGAGGGTCAACGCTGAACATGCCGTGCTCGTTTCCGCTGATGATGCCGTAAGAGATCTCCCCGTTAGCATCCGTGTCCCGGCTCGCTGCCTGCACTCTGAGCACCTGTGTGCCCACCGTCACGTCCTCAGACAGGGTAGCCATGTATTCACGGTGCTCAAAGACTGGCGGATTGTCGTTGATGTCCAGGACGGAGATCAGCACGTGGCACAGAGAGGACAGGCGTGGGGAGCCCTGGTCACTGGCCCGGGCCTTCAGCTCGTATGTGGACTGCACCTCTCGGTCCAGGGGGCGCTCCAGGCTCATAACGCCGGTGTGCTCGTCAATTGAGAAGAATCCTTCAGCGGAATCGACCAATGAGTAGAGGATGTCGCTGTTAAGACCTGAGATGGAGTACAAAAAGGAAAATTAAGTTGTTTTTTTGTTTTTTTTTTGTGACTTTGACAATCCTCCCTGTCCCTGTTCCCTCATCTCAGCAATTATACTGCTGAGTAGAATGTTATCTTCAAAGAAAAAGATGAATAGCCACATCAACAGAAACACTCCCTTAAGTACAGGGCTTAACAAGCATATTGATTCTTATATTGATGTATTGATTCGTGAATGATTAAAACCGTCTCCCTTTATTTTCATTCCGACACATCCATCTTTCACGAAGCCTCTGATAAACAGGAGCTGTAAACGTCTAATCCATGCCATCCTCATAACTCATGTCCTCCCACTAGCAAGACGCTCCGAGCAACAAGACAGAGACGGATCACAATAATAATCATAATGCCTTTCTGCAGGTGGCCCCCATTTGGAATACGCTATTATATTCCCATTTATCAGGTAAGTGCCCCTATCCTCCGTGGATCTCATTATCGTGCTGGAGACTACCACAAGAGCCCTGCTTATATGGTTTCCCATCACTTTTATCTGGTCTGATCACCCTTGGGACAACTACTTAATGGTGGTTAAGTAATTGTGCTGAATTTCAATTGGCTATGTCCCCTAATATGCTCACTATAATCTCAAGACTGGAATGTTTAATATGAAAGTAGAGTTGGGATGCTGAGTGGATGGATGGATAATGAATCAGCCCCTTCTTTGTCATACATGATAGTAAACTTAATATCTTTGAGTTTGAGATAAGTGGTGAATAAAACAGGGATACACTTTTCATGGGCGTTCTAAAAGTTTAAAGTGGACCTATCATGCTATATTTGAATAATATAGTGTAGGACCACACCTATATAAGGCATATTTATAGTTTTTATTTTTCAAAATACCAAACAGATCATGCATTTTAGCCATTCCTCATTTCGCTCAATTTAACACTGTCTTTGGGGCTGATTCTGTGAGAACAGCACCATCTACAGGCCTGGCATATGTACTACAGCGTCTCCAGCGCTTTCGAACGGCAATGTCCGTGGCTGTCTCCTCCTGATTGGTGGAGTTGGCCCAATAGCCGTAGCGCCACTTCTGCGACGTCAGAGAAGTGTTCAAATCTGGATCAGTCTGTATCAGATCCGTTGTAGCCCCTTTTTAAGAGATTTGGGTATGGAGGAAAATAGAGAGGGTTGTGTTTTCTGACACTTGGTGAGTTCCCTGGAACACCGGGGACACATATTCATGTATACAAGACACATGCATTTTGCATGATAGGTCACCTTTAAAGAGAAAACTGTTGTGTGCGATGCTAAATGGTTCTCAGTTGCAGCCCTATTTTAAAGACAATGTCATGGTTATATAGCTAAAAGCAAACATTCTAGCTCTACACTGATCTTACACTGACACAACTCCTTGCTGCAGTAATGTGGGTAAGTAACAAACATATTCCAGCCAAATAGGCAGGTGGATTATTGAGACAGCAGCACACAGCATCCAGTGCCAAGAATGCGTCCTTGCATAGATACTAGAGGCAAATATCGATGGAAGATAAAGCAAATATTTTCTCTTCGTAGGAGGGTTACATTAGGCTTCATGTTTACTGCTGAGAGTCGACTGAAGCCTGACTGAACTGGGTCAAAGCTACAATGTCTAATTCTTCTTGAACGCCTCACATGTTGCTTGGGACTCACCAGTTGTGCTAAAGAAATACTAGAAAGACAAATAAAAAGAACTCTGATGTGTGCGATGCCCACATGTGAGATACAACTTCTCAAACTCCCTCTGCTACACTCAGTGCAACTCTAAATAATTATTGCCCCTGGCTAAACTGCAGGAAGCACCTTATTTTCTCAGAGCCTCCTTCAAGTACCCTTATCCTAGATATTTGAAAATGTGAAGAAAATTCCATGCCGGCAAAGCCTCGGGGGAGAACATTTCTTAATCCCGGCACTCTCCATTCACCATTTAAAGTTTCCATCTAAGCAGACCCAATTCTATCATCTCGAGCTGTCAGTTCTCCCAGGATAGGAAACAGAGGGCGTTGATTCTGTGACAGTGTACAGGTTAGAGTGGTTCCTGCTAAACTAAAGGTTTAATCTAGAAAGACAGGTCCAATGGTTTCCTGTTAACGTCTCCAGGAGTTTAAATTACTGTTTGACTGCATGTTGAACTTCCCAGTCTTACCCAGATGTGAGCTGCTCAGCGGTTGGCAATGCTTGGCGAAAGGTAAAGATGCCGGAGACAAATATATGTGACCCTGTGGCTTTGCACAATGCAAATGGAAAATTGCATCAGCCCTTTTGAGAATTCAGCTTGAAGAGAGAAGAATTTCATTAGAGTGTAATGGAGCTTTTAATTTGGGGGGTTGATCATTCATGAAATTCCACATTTGTTATCCCTCCCTCTTGCCATTTAGTGTAATGCAGTTGTATAAAGGAAAGATAATAACCAGTCTATTGTGAGCCAGCATTTAGCCGAGAGGAACATTCATACTATGATACAGGAAACTTTTATAAGTGTAAATTGTTGAACCCCTTTTTTTTTGCCTGAGTAATGTCTTTGTGTGCATTTTTCAATTTCAACGTTAAGGTATTTGTGACAAGCAACAGCTCACAAAACTGTATCTAAAACATAGCTTTAATATGAAATGTTGTCCAGTCATGGACCTCCCGGTAAGTAAGCGCAGTAAGCCTGTAAAATGTGGATTGTTTTACATGTTGAAACTACGTATACAGGGCGACAGTTAGTGATACTCAGCATTTAAAGACTTGAGGGGGTGGTCGATACATACAAACATATTTTGGGACCAATAATTGGAAAATTACAAAAAAAATGTTAGTGCCTGTTATCATTGTAAGCTGCATAAAACTGTGTAAAAAAAAAGAGAGCTTGAGATGTGGAACAACAGAAAATGGGGGGGGGTTGATCTTAGCTAACATTGGTAGGAAATGTAATCCCATGCCTTGGTGTAGATTTCATTTTTGTTTTGTGGTAATGGACTGATAGTTTCTCAAGTACAAAGTCATGTTTACACTGTGCAAGCAAATAAACTCACCAGTATCGATATCATTTGCCAGCAGTTTTGCCACAAATGTGCCCGTCTCTGTGTTCTCAAAGACTGTGATGGTATAGGTTTCAGATGAGAACTGAGGCGTGTTGTCGTTGACATCGTCCACAGTGATGTGGATGTCTGCCTCACAGTACCGCCCTCCTCCGTCCACCGCCCGCACTCTGAACCTGTGCTCGACCTGCTCCTCTCGATCGAGGGGCTGTAAAGTCTTCAGCTCCCCTGAAGGTGAGACAGAACAATTTTGAGCAAAATACACAAACATGAAGAAATACACTCTTTTGGGAGATCTCATTTTCCATTTAAAGAATAATGAAAAATCCTTTCATGTTACAAACAGTCATAAGATGAAGAAAATGAAGATGAAATTGAGTTTATGTGTAAGAAGACAAAACCATGTATACTCTTAAAGCACAATGGCCCCCTTGTATGCTGTCTACTAAACAAGTAAAACACATCCAAACAACTGATGGCTTTGAAAAGAGAGAAGAGGGGAATAAATAAGTAATTGAAGCCCGAGAAAATGGCAGAGAGAGTGGGGGGGATGGAGGAAACCATCAGAGTTGGCAGCTAGGAGCAGCTTGGAAGTATCCTGGGAGGCGAGGCAGCCAACATTACCAAAACCTCTTTGGAAAACTCCAGAGCCTCTTGGCGGTTCTCATCTGCAATAATCCTACTTGTAAGAACTGAAGAAGAAAAAAAACATCCTCGCTCCATAACAGTAGCACTGTGACAGCTGGATGGTATTGTTGCCTTGGTGTCAGTCTCTTAGCGTATCGAGGCTGAATTTTGCCGTTACTGAAGGATTCTACGCAGGAGCAGCAGATGTGTTGTATAGCTGTTTAAATGTGGCTTAGTTTGTTTTGTCATCCCATGCTTTTAACTTGGCATTTCTTTTAAAAACAGGTTGGTGGTGATTAACTGGCAATGTTTTTATTTCTTTCTCCCGAGGTGCCAGATGGAATCTCTGATTTAGCGGGTCTCCCAGAAGAATTGATTTGGAGGCAAGAAGTATAGAAGTCATAAATTCAATTTAAGTGCACAATTTTGTGTGCTAGTGCCACTAAGTGTCTTTCAGCTACCTTGCAAGGAAATGTTCCTGGCTGATTTAAAAATAAATAAGTAAAACAACTGGGCACAAAGAAAACACACTTGCCTCCACTATAGCTAATAATGATTCGCTAGGTACACACACTTATTTCAGAGGGATCGCAATTCTCAAATCCTAAGACTGTAGAATATGAGATTGCTGTTGCGTAAAGCTGCCTTTTTGATTTTGTGGCTTGAAGCAGAGGGCCATGAGTGTTTTAATGAGAGACTTTAACAAGAGTGCCTCACATATTGCATCCTAATATTTCAAAACAACCTGCAACACAGCTGGAAAGCCTTCTAACTCAATGATTGTGGACAAAAAAGGCTTCAGAGAAAAAGGATGAATGTCTAGAAAGAATACTATTTAAAAGTGATCTAAAAACATCACTAAATCAATACTCTTATTCATAAATATAAACATTTGCATCTATTCCTGTAAGCACACATATACACACCTGTATCAGAATCAATGTTAAACAATTCAGATCCAACTCCTTGCAGATCATAGGAGATTTGGGCGTTTGAGCGGATGTCAGCATCTGTAGCAGAGACCTGCAAGATGAGCCTGCCAGCAGGGGAGTCCTCTCTGACACTCTCACTGTATAGTGACTGAGGGATGGATAGAGAAATATAAGTGAGAACTAGGAAGACAAGGGCACATCAAACGCAAATAAATGCTGAATTTTAACAGTCCAGAAAACAGTGTCATTTACCTTTTCGCAAACAGGACTGTTGTCATTTGCATCCAGCACCTTGACCTCTACAATGGCTTTGGCGGTAAAGATGCCATCACTGGCAGTAATGTTGAGGAGATAATTATCCTTCTCTTCACGGTCCAAGGACTTCCTGACAGAGACCTTCCATTCATTCTGGATGTGTTCGATAGCAAATTGGCCAAGTGGGTCCCCTCCTTTGTGTTAAAAAGACATATACCAATTCAGAATCATCAACAACTCAAGAGGCAGGAAAGCAGCCAGAGCCATTATAAAGACACTAACAAAAGGCTCTGTCCTGAATTTAAAACTACATTCCACAAAAAATCCATCAATTAATACTGGAATCATCTTTGGAGCATATCATTAAAACAGTAAATCCTTATTTCTAAATGAAATCTGTTTTATACACAAGCAAACAAAGAAAACTGTACACAAACGAATGCCTCATTGTGATTCCTCTTGATATACCCAGACTTGGCAGAGTTATTCACACTTGCTAATCAGCACCCGAGGAAGAATCTTTCCCCATTCGATTTCAAAGCATTATTTAGATAATTATACATTTCTGTATTATGATGACCCTTAATATGTGCCTTGAGCTTCGGCAGATTAACCGATAAATCAGACTCCTAACAGATAATAGTATGGTGTAATGTTTCAAAGATTAGATATTATCATCATATTAAGAAGAGGCATAAATGGATAATCCACCCTTAGCTCTGTTAATGAAAACTGTTACACAAAGGAGTAGGGAGTAAACTCTGGGCTTACAAAAAAGCACAACCTAATAAACTCTCACCTGTAATGAAGTAGTTGACTTGTTTATTGATGTCCTCAGAATCATCGTCTGTGGTGCTGAGGATGGCGATCACTCCACTGGGAGGAGGGTCATCTTCACTGACTGTTCCTTTGTAGATCTCTGCCGTGAAGCGTGGTGGGTTGTCGTTCACATCAGCGACTGTAACCTCCACTTTGGTGCCGTTAAAGTGTTGGACTTTGTCGCCTTGGTCTGCGGCTAGGACGGCAATTATGTATTTGTTCATCTTTTCACGGTCTAGCTCTTTTAAGGTGGTTACCCATCCAGTTTCACTATTAACAGCAAACAGCTCGGAGATCTCCTGCGAATTCTGCTTTGAGTCCAGGCTGTAGACAACATGGCTGTTGGTTCCAGAGTCTTGGTCAGTGGCTTTGACTTGGATCACTTGAGCTCCACTTGGAAGGTTTTCCACAATGACAGCCTCGTAAGGATATGCCTCAAAGACAGGTGTGTTGTCATTAAGGTCTTTCACCTGGATGTTAACATTTACAGACGACACAATCTCATAGTTCTCATGCTGTGTTTGGGAAAGCAAAGTGAGTTGGTACCATTTGGTGGTCTCATGGTCTAGGCTTTTCTGAAGCTTCAAAGCCCCACTGTCTCTGTCTACAACAAATACCTCATCTTCATTGCTCTCGGGAGTGTTACCCTTCACAAGGCTGTAAATGACTGTTTGCTTACTTTCTGCCTGAATAACATCGATCTCTGTACCGATGGGAAGGTCTTCGGCAATTGTGTATCGGTATTGTGCTTCCGCAAATTTAGGAATTTGTGTCTCTGGTGCTACAATCCTGATGTAAACCTGTACAACAGATTCTTTGGATGGATTTCCAGTATCCTTTGCCCTCACAAAGAATGCATAGAGCTCATTTTCAAGTCCAATGAGACTCTCTTTGGTTATGATGACTCCAGAAGTTGGGTGAATTTCAAAGTTCTCCTCAACGTTTTCAACATCTGCTTCAATTGAATACTCAACGTCAGCATTGCTTCCCTCATCCATGTCTGAAGCTGCAATTTTAACCACAGAAGTTCCCCTTGGGGCATCTGATGCAATAGTGGCTTTGTAGTCAGCTGCCCTGAATTGTGGGGCATTGTCATTGACGTCTGTGAGAATGACATTGACTACAGAAAAGCTCACTTTCCCACCCCCATCCTTAGCTGTGAGAGAAATAGGAATAACCTTTTCGACGGTATTCTCACGATCAAGGCTCTCAAGAGTGAAAATCTCTCCGTTTTCATTGATAGAGAACTTGTCTTTTGCAAAGTCATTGACAATCTGGTATGTTATTTGCCCGTATATGCCTTCGTCGTCATCTGTTGCCTTTGCTTCTGCTACCAAGGTACCAATAGGTGAGTTTTCAACAAGCTCTACCAAATAGTCCAGCTGAGAGAAAGTTGGGTTGTGAAGGTTGGCTCCAGTAACTGTTACTATGACCAGGGCTGAGTTTCTGAATACACCGTCTGATACTGATACATTGAGGTTGTAGAGAGGCTGCATATGTGGCCTACGGTGGTTGGAAATGAAAATGGCGCCGGTGTGTTTGTCGATGGAAAAGTTCTGATCATCATTTCCGGATAATATGGAGAACTCCAACTTATCTAAGTCGGAGCTATCAACATCCGATGCCTGGACTTGGGTGATAAAATGTCCACGTGGGGCCAGTTCACTTATAGAAGTGTTATAAGTGTGCTGTGTAAATATTGGAGCATTGTCATTAAGGTCAGTAACATCTATTGTTACAATAACATCACCAGAAAGGGCTGGAACTCCGCCGTCCACAACACGGACTCTCAACTTGTGCTGCTGGATCTCCTCATGATCGAGAACTTGAGCTGTGGAGATTATTCCTGTGTCACGGTCAATGATAAAGTAATCTGAACTCCTCCTCTTTTCTTCAACTAGTTGAAAGAATACTTCTTGGTTACTCCCAGTATCATAATCTTTGGCATCAACTTGCAATATAGATGTTCCAATGACAGAGGCCTCTGAAATACTGGCATAGTAAGACTTCAACAGGAACACAGGGGCGTTGTCATTTACATCTTCCAGTATGATATCGACAAAAACTTCAGAGTGCGCTCCAGTCAGAGAATCTGTAGCCCTAACATTTAACTTATAGGCGGGATGTGTTTCAAAGTCCAGTGGCTGAATCACATGAATTACACCTGTGTTGAAATCAATGGAGAACTGTTTGAAAGGATCCCCTTCAGCAATGGTGTACACAATACGAGGGCCTTCAGAATCATTGGCCTGTACGTGAAGCACAGGTGTGTGTAATTGAATGTTTTCAGGTATTTCAATGCTGTAAAAAGGCTTCTCAAACACAGGCATTGCTTTGTTCACCACTGTTATTGGCACTTCTACTTCTGTTGAGAGTGGTACCTCTCCATTATCCTTTGCCATAACAACAACGACAAAGTCTGTCTCGAGCAAATCCTTCTCAAATTTCTTTTTTAGGGAGATTTCCCCAGATGGGGTAATTTGAAAGTGCTCTTGGTGTTCCTTCAGGTAATAATGGATGACTGCATTCGGGCCCATGTCTTTGTCTACTGCTGTGACTTGTCGGATGACCTGGCCTTCCTCTGCGTCCATCTGGACCAGGGCGTGATAGGGTCGGTTCACAAACATAGGTTTGTTGTCATTTAAATCTTCCACTGTCACAGTTACTAGAACGTGAGCCCCATCTTCAGATGTGTCCTCTTTGGTGACCTCAACAACTATTTCAAATGTGTCCTGTGCCTCGCGATCAAATGGAATCCCAGTGGTTGAGAGTACCCCAGATGTGCGGCTGATTTCAAATCTGCTGTCAGGGTTCAAAATCTTGTAAAACAAGGGCTCGTTCAACTGGTTCCCAACAACAGCGATGGCTGCTAGTGTTTTCTTCTGAGAAGAGTTTTCTTGGACGGAGGCTTTGAAGGACTCCCTTGTGAACTTCAGTTTACTCTCCTTGTTTTCCTTCACATTTATCTTAACTGTAGCAACAGCAGCAAATCTACCATCGGAAACCCTAACTTTTAATTCATATCTGCTCCTGAGTTGTGTCACATTCTGAATAGAAATGATGCCTGTGATTGGATCTATCTTAAATTTATCACCAATATTTCCCTCTGAGATGGAGAAAATAAGTTTAGAGTCTGAGTCTGTGGGGTTGACTTTAATGACTTCCACCCCTTTGTAGGTTGGCACTTTGACAGTTGTCTCGTACAGTTCTTGGCTGAAAAATGGTGGACAGTCATTTATGTCAATTACTTCAATGGTTACGTTGGCTGCTGTCTCTGCAAACAAGCGTGGCATTCCTAGATCATGGACCTGGACTGTGAACTGGAAGACACTCCTCTGTTCATAATCCAAAGGTGTTGTGATTCGGACAGCTCCGGTGCTTGAGTCAATGGCAAAATAGTTATGTGCGAAAGGTTCGACAATTTGGTATATGAGCATGGCATTCCGGTCGCAATCAGCATCAGAAGCCCTAATCACAAAAGGCGTGTTTTCATGAGTCAGGACAACACTGTTGATGGGGGCAGACTCGCTAATTAATCCTTTGAATTCCTTCTGGACAAAGATAGGAGCATTGTCATTTTCATCCTTGAGGTGAATCAGAAGAGTTGCGTTGCTGGAAAGTCCTGCCATGTTAGTACCCTGTATGATGAGCTTGTATTGGGAGGTGGTCTCATAATCTAAAGCTTTCTGGGTCACAATCACTCCTGAGTTAGGGTTTATATCAAATGCGTTGTTGATGTTGCCACCTTTTAGTTGATAGAAAACAGAGGACTGGCTGTCGGCTGTTACCAAGCTCACAAAACTTCCTGGATTGACTGATTCACTAACTTCTGCAGAGAACTCTTTTTCGGTGAATCTTGGGGCTGCATTATCAGAAACTGTTACTGCAATGTTAACAGTGGTGGTTGTTGACAGTGAAAGGTTTCCATTATCAGATGCCTTAACGGTGAGTTCAAACTGGTTATTGCTGTTGCGATCAAGCTCTTTGGACACCTTGATTGTCCCGAGAACAGGGTCGATGGCAAATGAGTTTGCAACATTTCCTGTAAGAAAGAGAAAAGAAAAGGAGAGTATATAAGATGATGCTGCACTTTTTTTGGGCCTGGCATTTAATGCAACACATATATGGTCAATTATTTGTGTTTAATAGATTACTTTGATAAGTATCTGAAGTGTCAGAAATGCTAACGTTCTTTCCAAGCCAGTCATCCTACACCATCAGTTTGACTCAAAACAAAGCAAGCTACAATTCTATTACATGAAGTCATCTAAGCTATGTCAAATGTGTGTATGTATTCATATAAAAAGCTATTTGCCACATGTTTCTTGCTCTCATACAACAGCGTATTGTGGGAAAAAACCATCGTGGGAAATTCAGAGGGGGGGGGGATCTACCAATCTCCAACGTATTTGGAGATCGTCCTGACAAAGGCTTCAATATTCTCCTACTGTAAAGTATTCCATTCATGATCAAGATCCAGTGGGCAGCATGACTCAAGATTACTCATACATTTTTGATGAGCTGATTTCATTTGCATTAATTTACAATGAAAGCTTTCTGCTATGAGAAGAAAAACACAAGGGAAATTGTGGCTTAACCAAGTGGCAGAGCAACTGTGTGTGTATTCACCTGATTCAATGCTGTAGACAATCTCTGCGTTATAGCCCTTGTCTTTGTCAAGAGCCGTGACCTGGAGCACAGCCGAACCTACGGCTGCAGATTCAAACACACGGCCGGTGTAAGGTGTGCCTATAAACCAGGGTGCGTTGTCATTGGTGTCATCCACGTCGACAATAACACGCACAAGGTTCCTCTTTACTGGGATGTCCTGGTCTCGAACCTAAATACAAGACATTTAGAAAGGGATATAGAGTATATTAGGATGAGGGAGGAAGAAAAGAAAGAAAATAAAGTGATGGGAAAGGATGCTAGAGCCCTCGAGGGATTCTTCAAAAGCACAATAATAAAAGAGCAAAACATTCCTATTTTTTAAATAAGCATACAAATAAACAAGCTTATCTAGATTTCATGGATGTTTCTTTTTCAACCAAGCAAACAATTCAAACAACTCCATTAAACCATAAGTAGCAAAATAATTAATAATTTAACAAGATATTTATAACTTGTCAGAGGCTCATACCATGACGGTGAGAATGTGACGATGCATTGTCTCATGATCCAGCTCCTCAGTAGTGAAGAGGGTGCCCGTTCCTGGGTCTAGTCGGAACTTCCTCAGGCTGAAGGGGTCGGTGCTGCTCAGGAGTGTGAAGGTTAGCTTGTTCTTCTCGTCTCTGTCCACAGCTCTGACCTGCAGGACCTCAGTCCCTGCTGGTTTGTCTTCAGGGACATTCACCTCATACACCTTCTCAGAGAACTGTGGTCGGTGGTTGTTGGTGTCAATGACACGGATCAGCACCTATAGGAGACAAGTACATTGTAGAGAATATAAATATAACATCTGACGCAGTTAGTTTTTAAATCATTTTAAATTGTGAAGCTATTATCCACACAATTTCTAATTGTGTCTTTGTGTATGTGAGATGGAGTTTTTCAAAGAATAACTGGACCTTTGAATCAGTCAAAAGACAAATTGCAAAGTTAAACTTTACTTTTGAACATTTTGTTTAGAATGTAGTTCTAAAGCATGGGCCCTCGTCCTGGGTTAGGATGTTGTAAGGGTTAAGGTTAAATTTGCAAAAACATAATTAACATACTCCAAAAATCTGATAATAACCAAAATACTAGTGTGAGCGTTAAATTACCGTGCTGGTTTTTCACAGAATAATGATTAACAAACAATAAATATTCAATAAACTCTAAATAGTCAGAAACAGGTTTCTGATTATCTGTATTGTATGTGTACACTACTCTATACCAACACACACATACACACACAATTCACCGATACTCCTTCTTCCCCACCTTCAGTTATACGCAGCGTTTCTGTATATACAGACCAGATCGATGATGGCAAAAGCAATATTTTAACTGAATGGCCACTTGATGCTACCAACAGTGAAAACAAGAAATCAATGATGAAAACCCACAGTGCATCCTAATGAACTGTGAGCTACATTTCAGAGCAGGTTTTAAAGTGAGACTACTTCAGTGAAAGCCCACAAAGCTATGACTCTAAACTGTTGACGGATAGGAGTCTTATACAGGGATAACAACAATACATAATATGTATAAAAAGTAATATACATTTTAGGATTGTTTTGGTGTTACTGATTTGCAGATTTAATATTATGCTTATGTTTTTGCAACTGTTCGGATTGATATTCATAAACAAATCTATACACATATTCGTCTTGCTTTAGACAGCAAAAGTGCACTGGCTGTGTTTTTTTTGCCCCACTCAAAACAAAGAATCTAACATCCCCAAACTGTAAAATTCCACTGGGAGCATGTTTTATCAACACCAGCCACTCGTCTACTGGACTTCCGACAGAGGATTATGGAGAGCTGCTGGAATGCCATCTCTGCTTCCCAGACCAGAGAGGGGCTTCTACCGTTGCCAAACATGGGGAACAAAGGGATCAGCCCAGATTAGACACCTGCATACCAAACACCAGGGGGTGATGTCCCGTAAGGAAAGCGGGTAAGGCGAGCTGGTGCAGGAACAGTGAAGAGGACTTTAGTCACAAAAGCTCTGACCAATTGTCAACTCACTAGCTGACCAGGATTTGTCAGATCTGTGGTCAACACTGTTGTTTTCCGTCATAATACTGTTTGTTGATCGCTATGAGCCTATATCAGAGACAAATATAGACCCAACCTGACAGCACTGATAGCATTTACAATCTGCTGTGTGCTGGGATGTTGGCAATGCTGCTGAAGCTCACAGATGTCATCTTGCAGGGGGAGCGCTGGGCTGCACGCTGTCTTTCGCTGCTGTGAACTGGCTGTTTTCCACGAGTCATAAGCAGCCCATGTCACACTGCTAATCAGGATGCGTAATGTAAAATAAAAAAGATTTTCTAGTAAGGAATTAACCCTGAAAACGGGTATGAAATTGGACCTCTAGTGTATGTTGCACCCTCAGACAAGCATGTTTTCTCATGACATGCCAGGCATCATATAGTTCCAGATCTGCAATGTCTCACTTCCACCTTTACACACACAGATACACATGCATACGCCCACACACAGATACACAGGCTCATAAATTGTGCACTCCTAACATACATCCACACAAAGACGCTGTCCAATGTGTCTCAATCTGGCCAGTGTCAGATAACACGTTGTGAATAGTGAGGATGGTCCTGGTCCTGAACCTTGTCAGTAGTATCCACATACATCCACAATGTACTATTTCAGATGGTTTAGAAAGCACACAAAAGGCTATTCAGTCTCCATTTGTACACAAACTCGCCTTCCCTTTCGCAAGGAGGCTCTACAACACTTCAAAGGAACTTTGCCCTCAAATATTACAAAGCAGCATTATACAGTCTGACTGCAGCAGAAATGCTGGTGAAGAGGAAAAGTCTGCAGTCTTTGCATATGGCTTGCTCTGGGAGTGCTGGAGAGGAACAAGATTGAGACTGAGACTCAAACGTAACAGATGGAGATACTAAAGAAAAAAAGTGATGTGAGGGTGAGATGGGAGTATGAAAGAGAAGTGACAGTGAAAACCACAGGAAAGCAAAAACGAATAAAAAAAACATAGGAAGTAGGTGTATGAAAGACATACACCTAGAAAATGTGGCTTTAAATAAAATGCAACAAAAGTTCAGGGAAGAAAAAGTCCCTGATACAATAGTCAGCTTTGATACTGAGGGCAAGAAGTCTTCTAAGTATGAGTGGATAAGGTGAACCTTTGAGTGAGACACAAAGAGAGTCTTTGTGATGTGGACGGAGATAACATGAGAAACAGGAGACCAGGAACAGATTGTGAGCAGAACAGCTTGAGGTACTTCTGCATGGCCATGGGAGGATGTCATATAGCTGGTGAAGGGGGAAGGGAGGCTGGGCTGCATGCCGAGCCTGCCTTGTTGGCGCAGCTCCTGGCTATGAGGTGCCCGAGCTAGAATGCAGCACCCCTTGTTGAAATCAGCTGATCCTTCACAGACACCTTCATAGAACTACAATGCTCGAATGGAAAGCACATAACAGTGCAGCACACTGTTTCCCATAGACCTCCCACGCACTACGAGCTTCATAGTGATATCACTGCTGGAGTTCCATGCAGGTTAGGCTTAACACTATTTCAAATGTTCTGATTTATTTGACTCTTTGTCACTGTCATTTAAAAAGCTTTACAAAACAAAGGAGTGATTAAGAGATGACAAAAAAGCCTTCCGAATGACGAAACACCTTTTGTGTTTTGTGTATCCACAATAGGACGCAGGGGGGCTTTCATTGGGCTCATTGTCGCCCTGTGCCATGCGTAGGAGAGGAAGCCCCCCTGCCAGGTAGCAGGTTCTGGGCAAAGGCAGGGGACTGGCACCGAGCACTTTAACATGTTCCCAAAACAGGATTAACACAGCCCACTACCCACAGAGGTCCAGTGCTCGTTGGCTTTTTATTATACCCAAACAGAATAATCATCATTATGCCTGGCCAATGAATGTGGAGCTTTTTTAAAAACTCAAGAGGGAAACAATCCTAAAGAAAGACAAAGAGAGGAAAAAGGAGAGAGAGAGAGAGAGAGAGAGAGAGAGAGAGAGAGAGAGAGAGAGAGAGAGAGAGAGAGAGAACCAAAAAGGGGAAAGGGAAAAAAAAACATTCCATGGAGAGCGAAAATAGGCCAGCCTGTCTGGCAGCACAGCCTCCACATGACTTCGATTTGAGGAACAGATAAGTCTAACTTTCCAGCTTTCACGAGGTGCGCTGCGTGTGTGTGATAGGGTAGATCTAATTTGCAGTGACATTCTGTATGACTTTAAAGTTAAACAAAATGCTGCCACCAAAGAAAACCAGTTCATATTCAACAACAAACAACTATACTTTGCATATTATTTCCTAATAGAATGATCTATTTTTGGACTCAATAGAAAACATTTGCCTTTCATATATTGATCCATAGATGAATACATTTCATGATTAATACTTATTATGATCAATCAAGAAGTAACCATGATCGTTGTAAAACTTGCCTGCCTTGAAAGTAAATCTAACTTAAAAACTACATATTGCACTATTGGTTTCTCAGTGTTAGGAAAAACATTAACTTCCCAGCAAGAGGTACATTTTTCGGTTTCTGTTAAAAAAAACTCCTGCTGACAGAGCAAATACTGTCAATGCTGAACAATGTTATCGGATAAACAAGTTAGTAGCCAAAACACTCAGATGCATTTTCTGCTGAATCCTTCGGGCTCTCCCACAAATATGTGCAAGTCATCTGACAAGTACTGTATGTGATACATCAAATATGCAGGAATTATGATCCTGCATTAAAGACACAGTTTCCAAAGAAAAAGAATGCTGACAGGATAGGGGTTTTACCAGCTAATTTGTAGAAATTACAAAAAACAATACATTTCAGCTAAAAGGGATTTTTTACTAACCTACCATATTTGGGGATTTCTAGTCTCTGATAATGCTGTCACCTATTTGGCTCTCAGCATAACCCAGGCAACAGGCCCAAATCACATAACAAGTGTGGTTTATGGAGCATACAAATTCAGTAAATCCGTTCCCTCTATGGAAAACAGCTGACCCTTAGTGGTCAGCTGGGTCTACATTACTGTATTTTACACACTCATCTACTACTAGAGAACCTATCGGACAAACCTCTGAAATACATACAAAGATACGCACATTCGAAATATGCAAGCAAGTTCTTTGTAACTAGCATTCTTCAATATACTGTACAAGAGCTTATTATTGGACCTATTTCTTGTTTGCAAATGGTTCTTCAATTGAGCTGCGATGGTTTTTAAAGATAGAATTAATAAAGCTGATTATTTTTGAGGTATTCTGTAAAGTATGATATGTAAAGTAAGATATGCTGTACATTTTGAAAATAGATTATGATCGTATGATTATGAAATCCAATTTAGTTTTTTTAATATGTTTCAACTCCACAATAAGACCGGGCCGTAATGCTTTAATTACTGCTATACTAGTTTGAGAATAGTTTTTATGAATCTCATTGTTTCAATCCTTCCAAATTTGAGAATGTGTCCTAATGCATGATTGTTTTTAAAGGAGACTTACAACCTTAAGAGCAACTCTTCTGAGTGATAAGTTTGAATAAAAAGTTTTTTTCTGTTTTAGTGTTTCGTTATAGTTACCCAGATGCAATGGAAACCCTAACAAGAATACTTCAAATACAATTTTGTTTACGTCCATTGAGTGTTGTCTCTTTGGCTCCACATTGCCTGTATGTTTGTGTTTTGGAATGTCGGTTGGACAAAATAACCAATCAAAAGACTCCATTTTAAAGGAGACATAAAACCTTAAGAGCAACTCTTCTGAGTGCTCAAGCTTTGGTAATGTATCAATACACAACGAAATCCAGGTGAATGGCATTACTTTTGTATTGGATACTATTTCATTAACTTTGTGTGAACAAAACAAAGCAGAAAAAGAGTGTGGTTTGAAATGTAATAAGCAATAGTGCATTTTTATCTGAATACTGAATGAAATCATTTCCTGAGATGTCAAAGGGTTGCTTGTAAAGTCAGTCCCACAGAGACTCAAGCCCCACTGAGAATTAGACCTTCTGAATAGGTTAACCTTTGAATGTGATTAATTTGACTTAAAATGTCACTGCATGCAGTATCGCTGAGAGGCTTTCAAATAAGTGTCTGTTGCCAGGGCTTTTAAGAAAGTGCTTTATGTGGTGACAAAATCACGGCTGATAAAACAGGTACTCTGAGGCTGTTTTTAAGGTTCTGCACTAAACTAAAATACGTGCCGCTTCCTCAGATGAGCTGCAAAATGCCAGTGAAGGCGGCGCTTCAACCAAGGCTCAGTGGAGCACAGCAGCCAGATGATGAAAGGCTTTATTCATACGGAGTGACAACAAATAGATTCTTTTCCAGCTACAGTTCTCTGAAGCCCCCTTTGAGGACAAAGGACAAAACATTTTTGAATGCCACCATCCCATATGACCCAAACTACCATATCAAAATCCTCAAAATCTCATGGACAAGGCATGACGATCGGAACAAAAACCAGAGACAACTTGCATGCTTAAAAGCTTTTTATCGTTGCAGCTCAGCTTCGGTATCAGCTGGGGAGCCAGATTTATGCAAGAAGGATTACATTAGCATATTCATATATTAAAATACAAGTATGCAACTGCTTTGGAAGTTTTTGGGAAGTTTTAGTTTCATCTTCCATCAAAGCGGTTCACATAGTTCCCAGAAAATAATAATTCAGCGAGAAAGCATCTTTTCATTTGATTTTGCAGTGTCTAGACTACAGCAGGAGAGTGCTTGTGTATGAATGGGTGTAATATTGTTATTTAGAGTCCCTTCGGAAAAGACCGTGGCAATCTGCTCCTCTCAGAGAAGGTTCACAGGTTCAGATAGACACAGCAGAGGGTGGAGTAGAGGGGGCTCAAGAATGTATACATAAAAAAACCTCTGGCTAGACGGCACCATCATCACAGCAGCTCTGCGTCAGGAATGAGACAATGGAAGATTCCTGAAGTTCAATGCTCAACTGAGATGGTAGGGAACAGAGGAGGAGGAACACTGACTACCTAACTACAAAACAAATAGTAAAATAGTGAAATAGACTCTTATTGCACTATTTCGCTATTTTTTTTGTATTTACTTGCAATATTTTTTCTGTTTTATTGTGTTGCACTGTTGGCGGAGCCTGTGACCTAAGATTTTAATTGACATAACAACACTGTAGCTATGTACGTATGACAAACAAAAAGCCTTGAACCTTGAACCATATCATGGTTTATTTAACAGTAGAGTCTTCATGAGTCGAGGCTTGACTTAAGGACATCAACTTATTTGCTTTATTAGATAAGTAAGATGAGATGTACAGTAACTATGATTCTACAGCCAGGAGATGTGTGGGTTAGCTAAGCTTGAAGACAAGATACAAGTTGAAACAGCTAGCCGGGCTATTTCAGAAGGTAAGATATCACCCTACTTTAGCACCTAGAAGGTGTTGGGAGTCTTTTCAATGCTGTCAGGTTGCTATGGAACCAGCAAAGCACTCAGAGGCCAAAGAATAGTCCTGCACATAACTTCAAAATGCTCCCTGTTGAAAGTCTTAATGCTAAGCCAAACATACCAGCTGTTGGTTGGCATCAACCAAATCTCAGCAAAAATCGATTAAACATTTTTCAAAAAATGTCAAACATTTTTTTTATCAAAAGTTGAGCTGAGAATGAAAATACAGCAGATAATCTAGTGGTACAAATAAATTCAAACGCACCCCACAGGGGGGGGGGGTGCAGCATCAGACAAAATAAGAAGATTAAAAAAGCAAAGCCTTTCCGTATCTAAGCCAATATGTTTGTGTTATCCGTCCTTTTTTTCAATAGGTCATATCATACGGTTAGAAGTCAGGTCATGTATGAAAGTAAATCTATAAACTGTCATTTTAGTTAGTTGAGAGCAATGATAGCATCACAACATAATAATATCAGCATAAACAGGACAGTTTGGCCAATGTTTCACTCATTACTCGTCTCTTTCCTTTTGCTATTTGTCACAAGAGAAAAACAGAGCCATGACAACTGCCTCATCAGCTTCCAAACGTTTCATTAGGGTTTCAATTACCTGGGTGCTGACAGTTCGTGTCCCATCCGTGGCTTCCACCGTCAAGTTGTAATTTGATTTCGGCTCACTGTCCAAGGGCCGTGCAACAATCAAGGTTCCACTGGCCTTGCCAACGTCAAAGCGACTGTCATAATTACCACCTGTGGAATTATTATTTTTGTGCAAACAAAGAAAGAACAAAAGATTAGAGACAAATCCTTACTTGGTTGTGTGCTTTTAGCAAGGTTACCCAAACACGAAACGGGGGTGCTGAGGTGTGCATACAAACATCAATTTGGAGCTGTGCTGATGTCTAAGATAATGAACAGATATAATTTACTAGTGGTACAAATGTGTTGTTTATCTCAAAATGATTCACATAATAGCTTGTTCATGCATTTAACATCAACATACAAGGGCACACACATGGGATGAATGTATAATACACAATGTCCTTTTATACAGTGGATGAACAGATCCTGAACTCTCAAGGTTCAACCACAACGGATGATATGAAATGGAGCTGTAATTCACACAATGTAAGGGTAAGAGGTTTTTCCTTTATCTCTTGAGACTCCTAATCAGGTCATGGGTTTAGCGGGGAAATGTGGCACAACATCAATCCAGAAGCACAACACAATTCAACCACAGCCAACATGAAGCACTAACACACAGTGTGGGATGATGTGTTAATACAGCACAGAGTGTTAGGAGATCCCAGCAGCTACCTTCTGCTGTACAGTTGTGGTCACAAGCCATCTGTAGGATGTAAAACATCTCAGTATCCTCTATGCCGTCTTGCAAAAAAATCCAACCAAACAGAACATTCCAGAAAAAAGAGGGAAGCGGTAAGCAGAGCAAAGAAAGAGAGAAGAGAAGAAAAAGAGACGTGTCAGTCAGACATTGATTAGAGGGAGGACAGGCTGGGAGGAAGGAAGAGGCAAGCATCTTTTGAAAGCAGTCACTTTTCAGTAAGTCTTCTCGTGCATTAAGTGCCTATCAGAGCTGCAGTTTGAAGACAACGCACATTCAAGAGAGGACACATTCAGTTTTAACACTTCAAAACAGAGTTGCCAATTAAAATTGTTAAGAAAAATGCTGCATTGGCTCACACAAGTCAGCTAGGACGCAAATCAATTTTTTTTAGTTTTGTGAGCTATTAACTCATGATTCAATTATGTTATATATTATAAGCTATACACAAGCAACATGCAGTACCACAGGAACAGTGAAATGGAGAAACACGGTTCAAAGTTTTGAAGATAGCTGACAAATTCCAGATAATTCCAACTGGTCATTATATGCATGTTCAGTTTAACTAATAACCTAAACTAACTGCCATTAAACCTCGACTAGTTTAGCTTTTTCCCACATCATACCTGTATTTATCTACCACATTTGATAGTATAGAGAACAACAAACCAAATAAAATAAAATACAAATTTGGCGAGCTCTCTAATTGTCGGTAGCTCCGCGACAATACTATATACTGATATTACAACAAATAAACACTTCTTTGGACTGTTATATCTACGATAAAGATAAAAAACATACCATCAATTTCCCAGACTTCCTACACACAAACACTATGTTAGTCCTAAAGAGAGTTTTTCTACATTCTACACACGACAGAGGTGAATGTTAGGGAGGAATTACCTGTGATTTCGAACCACACCGGGACGTCAGAGGACTCTGTGGCCACCACCCCCACCATGTGGGCCACGGGGTCGCTTTCCATTACGGAGAATGTGAAGGGGGACTCCTCGAAAACCAGGGGAGCTGCATCAGCGGGCAATTGTGGTTTAGGAATCCACTCGATATGCAGACGACAAGTGGACGATTTCTGAGGACGTCCATTGTCGACGGCTTTAATCTGAGGGAATGGCGGAGAGTTGAAGATGTTATAGAGAGTAAAGAGTCATGCAATTTTCTCATGGAAAATGAACATGTCCGTTTATGTCTCTGGTGGATCTAGATTCAAAATGTTTTTGCAAAGTGCATTAGATACCGTTAGTTCAACCACTGATTTGATGCACAAAAAGTGGCATATCATTCATATAAATGTTCTCCCCAGAATGGGTTTCATTCGTAAAAGCTTCTCTGCACTCTGAGCTGTCAGCACGGCGAGAGAACCATGCCTTTTTGAATAACAAAACACCTTTTGTGTGTTAGTCTTTTGTGATTCAACCTTTTGTGTGGACTTAAATTACTGTAAACTAGGGTGAGCAGTGTCTTCTTGCTGCTGGATACACAATTGTGCATGTGTTGGGACATAAAATCTAGGTCTATATCAGCATCAACTAGGCAGTTATCACCGTCTACTGTGATGCCTAAACTACGGGTTGATTCTGCTATTCAAGCTCTTGATGATGAAGGCACCACACAGTAATATGACCAGCGTAATAAAGCAAACTACTTCATGCTCATCATTCTTTCATCAGGCTAAAGACAGGGTGAAGCCATTAGAAACTCACTGTAAGAATGTTGTATTCTCCAGCAGAAGAGAACTTCTTGGAGGAAACCGTGCCGGTCTTGGGTTCGATGAAGAACTTTCCGCTTTCATCTCCCCCCTCGATGCTGTAAGAGATCTCGGAGTTCGGTCCCTCATCCCGGTCTGATGCTATGACCCGATACACCGGGTCTCTCTTCATGGCTCTCTCTTTCTCCGGCCTCTCTCGCTCCGGGAGCTTGATCTTATAGATCTTTTCCAAAAACATCGGCCTATTGTCATTCTCGTCCAGGACTCGGACGATGACGCGGACAGTGGTGGATCTGGCAGGAACACCGTGGTCACTGACTGTGATCTGAGGAGAAAGGATAAAAACTTTAGAACAAGAAGTACGTACAACAAAGAAAGCAAATATACCATTACATGTCTTCTATGGCCCATTCGTCCTCTTAAGACAGATACAGTAAAGATTTGAACGCATTGAACGTTATGTAAAACTACGGAGATCAAAACCGCCGTGTAAGAAAGTTATACTTCCAAAGACTAACTTAAATCAAAGCACAGATGAAAAGGGGGAAGCAAGCTGTATTACTTTATTATGCTTTCATTTCACTTCTTCTCAGAAACTTAACTAGCAGCCAAACTTAAAGGCAACTCCTTCTAAGGTTTAATGGCATGGGGTATTTTATATTACACACATTATTTTTCGTTAAAACTAAATGTTTTGTCAAATCCCCCACAGTAGTGCACCGTGGAAAGAACTGAAACTACAAATCTCTGAGTCTTGTAAGTCATAGTCTCGAGCAGGACAATAAAAGACCAAATTCTATGTTATGTACTTTCATCCCAGAGAGAATGCAGCAAAAATGTTTGGTTTCTAGGTTTTGTGATTCTTTTTATTTAGTTAAATGTGACTTTCAAACACATAGGCTGTCAATTCCTATGCACATGGTGATGCAATTTACAGATCACTTAGGAAAATAAATATAGTGTCTTGTTCTTTGAAAAATAATAGTAGACCCACTGTTGCCCCTGGAGAGTCACTAGCAAGGGCTTGGGTATTAAGTAAACATGATTTATGTTTGTGTTAGGGTGAACTAAAACATTTCCCTAACTGAAATAAAGTTTATGTCAGCCTGTGATCATGATAACAGTGGCTTGTATGGCTGCAACACGAACAACCCACCAGAGCTAATTATTTTTAATTAGCTGCACCTCTTCACTCTGATAGCAGCAGCTGCACCGACTCTGCTCTGTGTCAAACTGGCAAACAACGATTTTACACTGCTAATAAACATTAAGACTTATTGCGCTCAGCTAAAGGCCGGGGGCTTTTTTAAACCCCAGAAGAACTCAGTATAAAAGACTGTGTCACGAACCTGAATAATTAAAGAGACGATCATTTAAGTCATGGCATCAAGCGTTACTGGTGGCTTGCTCATGCTTTTGTAATTTGTGACATGATTTTACACTCCGGTGTGTCCACAAACATTTGGGGTGCACAGTTTCAGGAGTTTAATCAAAAGCAGGGGGCCACAGGCTGACCTAAACAAACACAATTTTCATCTTGTCCCAGAAAAATGGGCTCAAGGGCTGCCTTGAGCACTGTCAGAGACGTGAGCATTTTTCGTTTCAAGCGGCAAAATACTGTAGAAGGGCAGAACAAATGTCACAGTCATTTTGGAGCCATCTGCTAAGTGCTTCACTAAAAACCGTCCAGGGCTAGCACAACCCATTTGGTGCTATCGTTTCAAGTACCAAAGTAATGTGTTTTGGATTTTTTTCGCAGTGTGTGCAGCTGTCCGTGCTATACACATGATCAGAACTTATTAAATGGGATGACAAGAAACCGTGCCTATGTTGGTGCCCATCGTGTGCTGTGTAACGAACCAGTGCCTACTATCACATGAGCTTTATTTGTGAAGGTATAGTGCTTCAAATCCCTGATTAAATTTAATACCTTTAAGGCTTTTTTCAACATTTTATGGATGGGAGCCTATTAAGTATTAAAATGAAATGTCCCAGCAGTACCTCATCAAACTGCTAAGTGTGTAACTGCGTGCATGAACACTATTCATCATCACGCATCTCTCTTTGGAACATTTTAATCAAAAGCCTTTGTTTGATAATTAGGCAAACTAAACAAAAAGACAGAGGGAGTTACACCAGAGGGACCGTGTCTCATTGCATCACTATAACACTGCTGTGAAGGGAAATGCACGGAGCTGCTCCATAATGTTCTGATTATATATTGCAAAACTTCTAGTTTCATCTAACCGACCATATGCAAATCATTTAGTTTTAATGCACTTCATCTTAATTAAAATAACCTGGAAATCAGGACAAACTAAGTACCGGTAGGTTGTTTGAAGTTGTTTATCATAGAAATGTGTATTGTGCTTAACCATAAAGTGTGGAGGAAAACAAGTAAAGCTTAAGTTCCAGAGCTAACTTTTACAGTTATAATCTAACGGGAATTTAAGAAGAGACACTAATGCTTTAATTACTGCTATACTAGTTTGAGAATAGTTTTTATAAATCTCATTGTTTCAATCCTTCCAAATTTGAGAATGTGTCCTGCATGATTGTTTTTAAAGGAGACATTAAGAGCAACTCTTCTGAGTGATAACTTTGAATAAAAAGTTTTTTTCTGTTTTAGTGTTTAGTTATAGTTACCCAGATGCAATGGAAATCCTAACAAGAATACTTCAAATAGAATTTTGTTTACGTCCATTGAGTGTTGTCTCTTTGGCTCCACATTGCCTGTATGTTTGTGTTTTGGAGTGTCGGTTGGACAACATAACCAATCAAAAGACTCCATTAGTCAACATAATCAGAAAAATAGACTAGGATCAAATGTCTTGGTCGAGGAGGCTAAACAAGCTATTTTCCAGGTGCACTGCATCTTGTTAACTGCATAATGGGATAAGTTCCAGACAACAGATGTGAGCAGCCCATTCACCTCTGCTTTTCCATTATAATCTCTTCTCTCACAGTCCTATGTTTGAATCCTAAGCATGTCCTGGCATGTCCCGCTTAGCTATTTACCCAACCCCCTCCCCCCTGGGACAGAGGCCTCTCATCCTGCCGCCAGAGCCCACACTCAGACCTTCAGGAGCAGCTTCGCCTTTTCTAGAATTCCCCCACTGCCTTTCTGCCTTTAGCTCTCTTTCTCTCTTTCACACACAGGCACACGACGACTACCAACCCCCATGCTTCTCATCATTAAACTGCAGGGCCCCCCCTGTGCTCTCTCCACCTCCTTTTGGCATTTGGTGCAAACAATGCTGACACAGCCCCCACCCTAATTGCTCCACATGTTCCACATGGCCCCACATGTTTCGTTTCTTCTCCTACAACAAGCTCGTACAAAAACTTCAACACTAGTTAGGGCATCAATTTGATTTGTTCTGCCAGCACAGACAAAGGCATGTGCACACACATATATATTCTTCTGAGTCATGATTATGCCTCAATGAGCTGCCCTGAGGATACACTAAGGTGTGTGTGTGTGTGTGTGTGTGTGTGTGTGTGTGTGTGTGTGTGTGTGTGTGTGTGTGTGTGTGTGTGTGTGTGTGTGCAGAGGGCTCTTTGCTGCTCCGTGAATGTCTGGCCCAATAAAGAGCTTCCTGCTGGATTCCCAATAACCAGTGACACAAACTCACAAACTCCTGAAGTTGCCATGGATACGCAGCTCTTTCCAGGCTGTGTTCACTCAGCCACTTTCTACCAATTCAGGTCAAAAGTGACTTGCTTTAATTATCCCCCCATTTCATACAAAGTAGGAATTTGCAAGAAAAAGCTTTTAAAAGTATTTTTTTTTGAAAATTGGAATGTCTTTGTGCACTGGAATAACTTGATCTGATATCACTGTAAGCTTTAGTTAACAACATTATGAAAAAAGTAAGCATATAACGACATTGAAAACAGGCGTGAGGAACTTTGCGTTCCACCAGAGTTGAGCTGAGTGGTTTATGTGGTTAATAAATGTCTGTCTGGAGGCATTTTGTCAAATGTGAATAATGAACAAAATGTTCACCTCAGCTTAGCTAAGGTGGGAATTAGCTCCTTTTTCTTTTTTACAGACACAATGACTTTGAATCAGACGCCAATTCCAACCTAGCAATTCAACAGCTTTCAACCACATGGAAGTAGCAATTGTACGTCTCTAGAGCAAACCGCTAGATGGAGGAACTTTGCATGGGAAGATTCTTTCTGAACTTGTATCCAGTAGTCTTCACTTATTCAACAGGTAGAGATACCAACCTTGTTATTTTAGTACATTTATCAGCACAATATTTCCCTATAGCAGCACAGTATTTTGTTATTCCCTACGTTAATCCCTATACTTTTCTCAGTGCCGTAATGCAATTAGTGCAGTGCGATGTACATTCAGAGTATGAAATGCAACGCTACTCTGGCACCAGATGCACCATATTAATCGTCAGCCAGTGATCACTGAAATGTTTAACTTCTAACAATAATTAAAAGGTGTTCAATCTGTTCTCTGTTAGCCCTGGAAACACAATTCAAATGCTTATTTATTATCAACCTTGGGTCTGTGGTGCGAAAGAGGGAGTGGAGCACCAGGAGAGGACAGAGCCCCGCTCAATTAAAACCCACAAGTTTAGACATTGGCCCGTTGGTTTGACAACAGTTTCCTGTCCCGTCTTGCTTCATCCACCGAACGGAAGAGTGGGAAAGAACAAAGGAGCAGTCACCAGGATCTCCCCCACGCCTCCCACATCTACCCCTTCCGGAAATTACTAGGTAAATGATTCCAAAAGGACATGTCTCGCATTAAGACTGTTATTGTTGGCAACATGTGGCACTCAACCACAGCTGTCTGGAAATGCCAAACCTCATAGACAGAAAATCTTCTCTTTTTTTTTCGGTTCCTGATTATTGTGTGTCTACATTTTCTTTTACATATATGAAAGAGGCTGACACTGACAGATCCATATTTCTTTCCTTTAGAGTTGCGACATTTACAAAATAAAGTGCTCACCTCAAGAATGTGCTCAACTTGCTGCTCCCTGTCCAGTTTCCTTGAAGTAGTTGTAACCAGACCTGTTGGAGACAAGAATAAATTATATTTATTATAAGGATATATAGAACGAATTACATACAAAATGAAAACATGTGAATCACTTTAACTCTCTCTCTGTTTTAAATGAAAAAGTAGTCATACCATTCAAACTCAAAAATGGTGTTACAGGTTGAGTAGACATTATCAGCAAGCAATGGTTTATACGAAGTTAAACAACTCAATTCCCAATAAACCAAATACTATGGGACCTTGCCAGAAAGGCAGTAAGGAAAAAACACATATATATCTCCATCTTATTGTTTGTTGATAATATGGATTTTTTTGAACTCTCAAATATTGACATCGACATCAAACATTCAGTTTCAGTAGACTATGTGGTGGACTAACTGTAGGTGGAGTTGGTCATAGTCAAAAGGACACTTGAAAGAGAAAACACCTTGACAGTAAAACAGTATTGGATTTATAAAACTCCAATCCCTAGTCACTGTTGGGTGACATCATCTGAACCCTGCTGGTTATCTCATCAGTCGGCCATGAGTTAAGAGTTTGCATCTGGAGCAGGCCCCTGTATGTCTTTCCTTTCTTTGGTCAAACCAGTCTCCAGACCGCCCACCACACTGCCGTACAACTGTGAAATATCACAAAGGCCTGCAAATAGTGTCCAAACAGCAGCCTAGCCTTGATACAGTGCTTTTAAATCCTCCACAAGCTGAATAAATAGTCAGTCAGACAGACATCCCCCCCAGTCCTGAGCACTCTTTGAAAAAGAAAAAGGGAAGTTCAGAAAACCTCCTCCTGCTAGTTGAAGAGTTTCAAGGTTCTTTTTGAGCTTTATCGTTCATTTTAAGTCGAAGGGATTGATGTTGTGTGACACCGATCACACAGAGGGGACTTGGTTCTGCCAGGATGTGACTAAAGTGAAAATAAAATAAGTTGCTGACTATTCAAACGTATACACAAACTGAGAAAGAAAAGAAGCGGATAAAGATACTGCTACATGGACACGTTATATTCAGCGTTCTGTTCTCACTACCAATGTAATTGCAGCGTTGCAGAGTGTAGAGTAGACATGCCAACTTCAACCGCACCAGAGCTGTCTTCTTGCCACACTGCGCATGATTAGCATAAAGCAAAGGATTTCCGAAACCCAAACCCATCAATGGCACATATGCCTGCAACGAGAATAGCAGGCCACAACTTACAGCTCCTGAAATAACCCTCCCTCAGCACTGCAATTGAGGCACACCAGCGAGGCACTTTTCTCCCCCTTTTTTATCCTCTCCTTCTTAGGCTTAATGTAATCTTCACAGAGTGCTGCAAAGATAAAGGTATACTGGTATTTAGTTGGGAAAAAAGGGAACCCCAAGCACTTCCTGTCGATGCATCTTGCTCTGCTTATGCTACCTAATCGAGCTACATGTTGATGGGCTCCTAAATGTTGTTGATTTTACAAGTAATTATAAAAGCACCCATGGACAAGACAAAGCAAAACGCTGTCTTTCTAAACACTGTAACATACCCCTCCTTGTTTAGTGAAAATGTTTTTAATAAATGTATAGGACCTGCAGGAATAACTCTTTGCAGCGTTGCATGATGCCTGCAAAAAAGTTTGCAATGGATCAGCATCAGTTACGTGAGCTGTATATTATTACCATCAAAGCTAATAGTTCTACTGTGCCACATCAAAACAGACCACGCTGACTAATTATTCATGTGCTTTAGCAAGGCTGGAGCTGGTGGATGAGAATGCTTCCAAGCTCCCCTGTGTGCTCTGTTAGGTAACTCCTCTCTTTGTACATGTATTATAGAGCAGAATACAGACGACAGCATTAACCACACCGACTCTAGGTCTCGGATTTATTTTTCCTCTGTAAATCAGCGGCCTAATCAAAGCTTGGCTACGTATCATAACAGAAACCGTGCTTGTCATGTAAACAGTATACGCTCAGTATAGAATCACAGCACTGAAACAAACATAGCATTGGCAAAACCAATGGTATCAGAAAACGACTGCCAAAAGCCTGTACTGGAGGAAATAGTACATTTGGTTTTAGTCCTGCATTGCAAAAAAACTGCAGAGAAGTTTCATTTCAAAAACACAATTTGCATCTTGAGGCAGCAACAGCGGGAACACCACAAGCGGAGTAAATGACACAGGTAGCACATCACTGGATGCCCTTTGTTTATAAGTATGCTTTTTAATAAATTGTTCATAAAATCCTTAAATTGTATATTGTTCTCAAACTGACACACCAATTAGCACTGCTACCTCTATTTGAAAAAAGGGATAGGGAATTTGGCGAGAGTGCAAGTGCAAGAAAGAAAGTAAAGCTTAACAGGAAGTGAAAAGTAATTTAGTCCTTAGTTTGCTGCGGTGAGAATACAAAAGGCAAGGCAGTATTAATATACTCCTTCCAGATACAGTTGTGCCTTTGGCAACAGCGAGGTGACAAATGTTACATAGCAGGACGGCAACATTTTCTGCCAAACTGTACTGTTTATACACCTCTAACATCAGACAGCAGACAAGCTGTCATGTAGGGAATGTCTGCCAGGTTTCCTCTTTTCAATCCCTAGGAATACCGGGTAACGCAAGGCTGCAACTAATGATCATTGATTTTTATTATTGACTAATATGTCACTAATTATCTCTACTAACAGATTGTTTTATCTATAATAATTTGATATATAAAACCAAGTAAGACATTTATTCAGAAAACTATCACATTAAAAAAGGTATGCAGCTCATCTTCAAATAGGAGACACTGCAACTCAGCATTGATTTGTATTTGTCTCCTTTAATCAAAGCTACTGCAGATTTAAGCAATCATACACGAGAGGCCGTTCTTCAACGTCATTATTGGTACGACAGTACTGCGGCAGGACCGAGGTGCTTGCGCCGAGGTCCGTACGCCTGTACTGGAGTGCTTGGGGTTCTTACTGCCTCAAGTGTATGATTGCGATTCTATAACACAAACTATCATTGTAATCAACAATATCGGAAAATAATTTCATAATGTGCGGGCTAATTTGCTCCCAAACCTAAGCTTTCTGCTTGAGTTAATCTCCGTCAGAAAGTAGTTCCTAGAAAGTAGTTCCCATGGTAACGATAGCCGATCAAACACTCCTGCTACCCCGCTTACAGTTATTGATATAATTATAGTAAATAATATATTATTAACCAATTTATTGAAAACAATTTATTGAAAACAATTCTTGAATTAGTCTATTTAAATATCTGAGTAATCACTGTGTGGGATTAGCGGAACAAATCAAATCAGGCTGTCCATGGTGCTGAAACATTTTGGGTTCAGAATGAAGGTGGATGTTCATGCTGCCATTAAAAGTGCAATTCTTGAAACAGCTCTCCATGAACTCCATGCCAGACTTTTTTGCAGGTGGTGCTGTGGTGTTCACGGGTACGTTATAGGAAGAGCTTTCCTCTAGTGGCCGTTTCATGGCTTGTCCCGGACCGGCAAAAAGCACGTTG